TTATGAGGAGGTATCCGATTTTGAAAATTTGTATCAGGAGAACATAAGTTATGAGGAGGTATCCTTCGTGCCACTTCTTGGAATTTCGATGACGTCAAATTCCAAGAATTCCTGGGCGGGATTTTTGAAATCCCAGCACCCGATTTTGAAAATTTGTATCAGGAGAACATAAGTTATGAGGAGGTATCCTTCGTGCCACTTCTTGGAATTTCGATGACGTCAAATTCCAAGAATTCCTGGGCGGGATTTTTGAAATCCCAGCACCCGATTTTGAAAATTTGTATCAGGAGAACATAAGTTATGAGGAGGTATCCTTCGTGCCACTTCTTGGAATTTCGATGACGTCAAATTCCAAGAATTCCTGGGCGGGATTTTTGAAATCCCAGCACCCGATTTTGAAAATTTGTATCAGGAGAACATAAGTTATGAGGAGGTATCCTTCGTGCCACTTCTTGGAATTTCGATAACGTCAAATTCCATTAATTCTCATGTTCTCTTGATACAAATTCTCTCTTTCGAATTTATAAGTTTTTTTTCGGATGGGTTTGTTAGGTAACAATAAATACACAATGATTGTTAATAAATTTTTCTTTATTTTCATCATTTTTCATACAGTGCATAACTTAATTATACTTATTGTCTAATCATTTAATTATCAACTTGTGGAACGGCCGTGATATGCACGCGGAATTAATCAGTTAACTTTGGCACCTTGCGCAGACCTAAATCGTAAGGGATAGATATGTGCAGTCAATTTTTACAAAGAAAGTAGTCAAAGTAAATGCAGCCGCAGCACTCTCAATGATTATGTAATTAATTTTTACGTATCCCGTAAAAAGTGTCCCTTAATAAGGGTGCAACGTCTCGACATAACTCATGGGCATGTTTCTGCGTATATATGATGATACCTAAACAATTATTACGTCTATGACTATAATAAGCTCAGTTTATTAGTTTTCTTCGATTTCAGAAGATGGTGTTTGAATCGCTATCGACTTGTGGTTTGTGCAATTGAATATACATGGTGAGACAACAGGAAGAAATTGCCAGAATTGATCATCAACAAAGATGATGTGGAAGAAAAATACGCTGGGTATATATAAAAAGGTCATTTAGAAAGATTATTTCTTTTATAGGATGAAGCTTAAAGGCGTATTTTCAATTTGCAACAAAAATTATTAACTATGATTCCCTAGACTTACAACAGTCTTATTGGGCAAATATATATTTCTAAAGAATTTCTAAATTAGTAAAAGTAAATGCTAAAGCTATACGGGGGAATAATATACTGCTGGAAAGGAACTCTTATCTACAAAAGGAAAGTCAAGGAACGTTGTACAAAATGTAATAAAATGAACCGTCTATGATCATTCTTTTGTACCGTGGTCTGCTTTGATTCTTTTTAAAAACAAGCTGAAAATACAGAAAAAGTTCCTATTTTTGTATCTGTGGTTATGTTCACCAATGATTTGAATAAGTATAATATATACATATGCTTTTAAATTATAAACTCTGCCGAGTTCGTAGGTATTTTGTAAATGACTTAGCAAAATTCTACACTATTTTTATATATCTACCACGTCATCTGCCGAATGGGAAAATACATTAACGGTAAAATATGTGCTTACCGAAATATTTAATTTCGTAATTTGAGCGAAAATGTCAGAACGAAAAGTGGATGTTGGAATTGTGCAGAAGCAGTGTACAAATGATACAAGTCTCATTGATAAAGCTGAAATTATTAATATATCTGCTTTTGATTGTGATGACATTGATGGCTGGTAAGTGACTTTACTGTAAGCTTCAATTAGTACAGTGATATACAATTACAGTTAATTGTAATTTTTTAAATTCTTTTTGTACCTAAGAAACTTAATGTTTGAAGATTTAATTCCTGCAAATTATTTACTGATACAAGTAATCCGTTAAGCATTGAAACTTTTAAATAATCATACAATATCTTATTTTCATTGTCAAAGCGTGTTATCAAAATGTTACAATTTAGTATAATTATAATGCTCATCGACAGATATGGTGTATTAATGAAAATCCTATTACTAAAGCAGAGGCATCCAATAGTTTTTCCCATGACCATAAATTACTTATGCATGTTATTGCTTGTTTATTAGGTTGTATATACCAACACGATATCAAACAGAATCCAAGGTTCAAGATTTGTACACCTGGTTAAAAAATGAACCAGAATTAAACTTATCAGGTATTTAAAATATCAATTAATTTATTATTGATGTGATTTTATATAATTTTATATTTAAATTTAAATATCTTTTACATAGCTAATAAAAAATTTGTGGACACGAGAACTTTTACAAGACCTAAAAAGCGGTCTAGTAGATCTACTTTTGAATCTATTTTGGAAACTTTATCATCACCTGTAGCAAATATATGGAAAACCTCAAATTTTCCAAATGTAGATGAAGATGTAAGTTCATATTCGCATATACTAAACAGGATAAATGTACTTTGAACATTTTCATTTATACATATCTTTTTTGTTTAAAGTTAAATAAATATTCAGACACAACTACTGCCAACAAAGATGAAACTGTACCTCCTATGTTAAAAATGACACCTACAACAAATGTTAACCTTCTTGCCGATGAAGTTGCAACAACATCAGGTCAAGAAAGTATGGAAGTGTTTTTAAATATGTCTCACTCAAAAGGAATTGATTCGTTTATTAATTTAATGGAACCTGGACTTAGTGACCCATTGATGAATGTTTCACAACCATCTATTTTTTGTTCGTCTATTATCTCATTGCCTAGAGATGATTCTTTACATAATACAGATTGTGATAAAGAAGAGGAATTTTCAAATTCAATTCATACCCATGACAAAGGAATTAATAAGTATAAGGATAGTAAAAATTCAAATATGAATGAAACATTTTCTAAAAGCAATGAATTGGATAATAACGAAAGTTACTGCCTAAGTCCAGCAGATAAAACATTTACAAATGAATCTGATACAATGAAAAAAATGGAATTAAATGAAACATATGATGCAGAAGTAATTTCTGCAGGAGTTATATCAAATTTGGATATAGATAAATCCAGTACAATTAATTTGTCTTCCGCAGTTGTAAATAAAGATGACAGAAATACAAAATTGTTACAGCCAAGAAATATTGAAAAGAAAGATTTACCTGATTTGAATGTTATGTATCTACCAACTTCTCAAAAAGCTGATAACTCATGTACTTTAGATGCTACATATTCTGCAACAGAAACTGATAAACTAGTTACAGATATGACTTTGACTTATGAAAGTAATGCAGAAAGAGATAAAGATCAAACATATGACTTACAAACAAATACAGGTAACAATACCTCAAAAAATATGGTAGAATCTTCCACATTTTCTGCAAATTCTTCCTTTACACTTATGCATGATAATGTTTTGAACTCCACATTTAAACTGCCTCTTCATTCAACCCCAAAAAATATAGATACATTAAATTCAACGTTCAAAGCAAGTAATAAGCATTTAGAATCATCTCGAATATGGAGTTCAAATTTTAAAGTGCCTACATCATTAAGGAAAGAATTGTTAGCAGAAATACATAGAAGTGGAGATCATAGACTTGATTGTACATATAATCATACAAGCAAAGAACACCAAAGTAAAAATTCTAAAAAAGAAGTTGCTGAGGAAATATCTAACCAGAATGTTAAAAGTGATATCCCCGTAGAAAATAAATATAATACATATAAAAAGGTATCATCGTTTGATAAAATCGAACCACAAACTGAAACAGAAAATGAAATAGAAACGTGTATTCAAAACTTGCAGGACAAGAAATACTACACCTTTACAAAAAAAAGTAGTGCTCATGGTGGAAAGACTGATGTGGAAAACGCTGAATCGTTAGAGAATATGGATGCTACATTTGTGAAACCCCTTCCAAAGTTACAGAAAAAAAAGCAGCATATTCCACGAATGCTTTCGAAATTACCACAGTTCCTTCAAAAATCTAATCCCAATCTTGTGTCTAATTCTCTGAAAACCGTTAATATAACTGGTTGTACAAATGCTCCTAGTTATGGGTACATGAAAGGTTCGCAGCCAAATATCGTAAGAGATGTTGAAAGGAGTCTGGTGAATAAATTATACCCTCTAGGAAAAATTAAAAGTGGTTCCGAACAACGGTTATTAGAACTGAATTCAGGCGTAGGAGAACTTCAAATTTTAGGTGCTGGAGGATCTACAGAAAGTATTGAAAGTACTCAGAGCGCTCACAGTGCACCTGATTTAGATGACAGACTCAGTACATGTTCAGATAGTAGTCACAATTCATGTACAACACAACCAATGAATATTGAACAGTTACAACAGATAGTACGAATGCAGGAGGAAAGTAAGTTACATTCTACATTTAAGTAATATTATTATGTGCAATTAGTTTAAAATATTGGAATGTATTGTATTATGATCATCAGGTTTAAAACAAGATACAAAACCTCAATTAAATAGGCGAGTGTTAGAAAATACATGGATTGACGCGAAAAAAGATTTACATTCTCCTATAGTTAAGAATGGACTCGATGGTTGTGAAAGCGATGATTCACCCTTGAGTATAGATTTTACTGTTAAAACAAGTTCTCCAATATTAAGTCCAACTAGATCTAGTCAGTCAATAAATGCTGATGGTAGGTCAATATATTTGATTTATATTTTATAATGTTTACTGTCTAGAACATATAATCAATTTGTTAAATAGAATTAAGTAATAATATGTAATAAGTACTTAAATATTATTGAATACATTATATAATTTTGCACATGTTACTACATTGTTTAAGGTCAATCTACACAAACTGTAATGAAACATCAAAATGATATAGATGTTGGAAAAGTTGAAGTAAGTCTAGTGTTTGTTTTGTATAAGAATTATCAAAAGATATTACGAAAATAGTTTAACTGTTCATTGAATATTAAATTACAGGTGTTTAATAAACCAATGATGAAAATTGAAAACAAAACAAGACTGCGACAACCAACGAATTGGAATACTGGAAATAGACCTACAAATCTTATGAGTGCTATTCCTAGACCACCATCGCGCATACCAGCTCCCAGGTTTGTGAGGCCAACTGTAAAAAATGTTCAAAGTGATATAAAACGAGGATACATGTAAAATTTGTTGAGGGAGCACTAAGAATCAACGTATGCGTTTTTAAACAACATTCTTATTCTAATTTGTATTCGTAATAATAATTTGTATAGAAGATATTTTTAAGTTATGGTCTTGGAGGGATAGTGAAGATTCTTACCTAACATGATAAAAAAATTCAGTATTAAATTTCCAAGGGAATAAAAGGGTATAAACAATACTGACTCCTCAGCGTATTCCAATTTCAGTAGATCTGTTATAAAACTATTGCAGTATAACTTTTTATGATAGATTTTGGAAGTTTAATTATTGGTTAATTATTTCAAAGTTTGTGATTTTTAAATCCTTATTTAACGATTTAGTTAGGAATAATGTGAGAAGATACTATTATTATTTAAACCAAAAATTCCCCTCCAAATCATTTTTATTTTTTTTATAACTATCATTTTTACCATATTTATATTTTCATTCTAATTGAAAGTTTTTAATCTATTGCAAGACTACAATAGTATAATGAATATAAATTGCTATATTCGCAATAAGAAATATCCCAATTACACATATAAAAATATGCGGATAATCTTTTATAAAAATGTCGTGAATATGACATGGAATTTTGTATCGACAAGAAACTATATGCTTGACGTGTATATTATATTTAAAGGGTTGAATGATATACCAGTAATATCTGTGTATAAATATTAAAAGAATGTTTTGCTACTTCTGATGCAGGTCACTTTTTAAAAAATTTATTAAAAATATTTTCACGTACATTTTTATCTAATAAAAATAGAACTTTTCAGATAAGACATCTGCAATAATTTGTAACAGTAAAACACACCGTATAGATAGAATTTTAAAAATCACCTCTTTTATAAATTTTAAGTAGCATAAAAGCTAACTGGAAAATACAAATATATGGCCTATACAGAGGTAGATACACAGCAATTTGTGATATATCATTAACTCTATATTTTAAATACCTTCAAGTATAATTTCTTGCTGATCTGTAGAGTGTATATTCCTAAATTATGAAGTTATCAAAAATTGGTTATAAAATTATTCACATATCATAATAAGATTGATGTCAATCGTAATATTAAAAACGTACATTTTTAATAATTCTATTTAAATAGTAAAATAAAAACTTTGTATGCTGAAAATTAAAAATTACACGTTATACAAAATTATAGAGGTGTTCCATGATACACTCTATAATGGCCTTCCATTGCATAATAAAAAAGGTATAAATTCAAAAAATGTAGTTCAAAATAAAAGACTGGAACATTTATGCAAGGATAAGTAAATTTTTTTGTAATACAAAAAACATTTTAGCCAAACTATAGTAAGATACGTGAGAAAATAATATAACATTTTCTTATGTTTCCAAATATAGTAACTAGCTCTTTATCTCCTAATAAAGAGCTTTCTAAACTGTGCGTGTCAAATTTTATAAATTTAATTGAACGGAAAAACCTCTAAAGTACATGAAGAATTGTCTAAAGAATTTTAATTTCAGAATGAAAAAGATAGATAAAATATTTATCATATACTTTATATATTTTATTTCCATCCTGAAATTTAATTTCTTTTTGCAAACATAAAGGACATTATTATAAACATATTATGATGTATAGGTATTCATGAAATTGTAATATCTGAAAGATACGTTTATGTTGAATTCAGATTGCAATACTATTTCAATTGCTAATAAAATAAAGTATTACAAAAAATGCATTGAACACAGAAGCTGTATAAATATACAAAAAACTAAAATAACTAGGGCATTGATAAAAAGTCTCTTAAAATGTAAAAAAAAATAGTTTATTATTGTGGTATAGAATTTTTATACAAAGCATTCAAAATAAATTTTAGAACCCATAAATTTCTAATATTTTTCAGAGATATATATTTAAAAAAGATTTTCAAATTTTGTTGACTCTTTAAAAATGTCCTATATGTATACCTATACATTACATAGAATACATCTTTTCCTACTTCTTACACCAACAACTTTCGTTAGTTATCTTTGTATTTGACATTTTTTAACTTAACATTTCTCTTCTGTAATTCTTTGCACGAAGTAATAACAGCAAGGGGAATAATGAAATACTTGTATTCTAATATGTTCTTTAAGATATTACTGGTTTTAAACATATCGTTGCAACTTGTCCATTTATCATTGAATTTTAATGCTGCATATTTTATAATGAATTGTTACGCTTGTTGCGTTATGTTTGAATTTGTAATAAGATGTGCATGGATCTATAGATACCTACGACATGTACACTGCAGAGTAAGCTTGGCTATATTTAAGAGGTTTATTTGTTGGATGCCAATAATTCTATTCAATTAGTTTAGTAATCATATATTAATAAATAAGAAACTAGAAAATAAAACAATTAAGATGTCCAGTTTTACATGATCAGAGCTTTTAAATATTTTTAAACAGTATAAAATCATTAGCAAAAAATAAAACAATAGTGAGATTAATAATACGTTTAAATACAAATACAGAAAAGATGAAAATAATATTCTTGAATTAATGTTCTTTTTATTAAACAGATTTCCATGAGAACAAATTTTAAAATGTATTCATGTTGTAAATAATAAATATAAAGTGATAGTCATGTTATACTCTTTATTTTTAAATGTTAGACCTTAAGTGCCTTTATTGTATTACGATAAAAAGAAGTCTTTTTATACATTCAAACTGAGGAAATTAAATATCTGCTCATTAATTATACTGTTCAGTATTTGTGTAAAAATTAAATGTGATCTTTTTCTAATTAAAGCTTATAGTAATAAATATTTTACAACTGCAAAATACATATTTTATGTAACACCACTGCCCCAACTTTATGTATCATAAAACAATGTTGATTTAGTGTTATTGCATATTTTGTACTTTGTGTGAAATTGAAATTAAACTTATGCTAAAACATTATTTGCTGATTTCTAGAGTAATAGTCTTTATTACATAAACCGTAAGTTTAGAACTAATATATCAAAATTTTACAATCTGTGTTTATTTTTCAGTAATCATTAAAAATATGAACTAACAATATGCTTACTCATACACAAACGCGCGCGCGCATAGTAAAGTGACATTAATACATATTTAAATGCAGTTTAATACTTACATTACTAAAATGAAAAATAAATTGATTATGAAATGTTACATTTATAAAATATTTAATCAATATCTCAGACATTATTAATACTGTTTAACTATATAATTCCAACTGATTTCTTCCTTTGAATAAATTATTTTTATCTTTTAATAGCACCTTTTCATTAACAAAACATGATTTGTACAGTTACAAATTTGTTAGTATCCTTGAAGGTGTTTTGGCTAATTTTATTTTATTTTATTTTTTTTTTTTTAAATAAATTTACACTTATCTGTACCACATTTTTTGCTACAGATAATATTAGGAGTTATAAAATCATAATTAATTTTTACTTCGTCACATCATAATCATAATAATTAACTATGTATATTGAAAATTTAAAAGTATACTTAATAAAATTTGATTTTGAATGTGAAAAAATTGCAGTACATAATATTATGTAAAGGCACAATATTAATATAATTTATTAATTTTATGTATCATTTATCTATGTAGACATATCTTTGGTATTTTTTTATCATATTAATTATAATGATATAATAGTGATTCTTTTGAAATAATTATATTTATATCAATAACAACAATAGGGACCCCAATAAAGTAATAGATATAAAATAAATATAATATGTATTTAGAATGATAGTTCACTCAAACACCATAAAATAACATGTGCTTAACTTTGAGAAAATAGTGGTGCTGTAATAAATAATTTATTATGTATTCTACATATTCTCAATAGAAAAGTTCATTCTGATTTTTTTGTCTTGGGCAGTAAATTGTGCAATATTTTAATATACTCATTGTGATAAGTTTGAGCATCCACAGCACTATTCGCGTAAACATTATGTCATTTATGACATCAAATCATCAATTTTTTCAAAAACTGAACAATGGATTAATTTGTATCTTTTGTTATTATGTTTTATGATTAATTAATGAAACGTTAGTAATACATGTTTTGGTATGTTTGTCTTTAATGTCACGATTATATCATTTATATTATTTGTCGTGGAACATTCATATGCAATATATTATTATTATCATTTTTAATACAGCTTCAAATATATAGTACAAAACGGAATATATAATATAATACATAAGTGTTTGCAACAATGCAATCATAACTGTTGTCTTGACATATAAATCTGATTACCATATGTATATTTAACGTTTAAAAATGTTATCCGTATATAAGAAAAGTGAACACACGATTTATACTGATCATTTTTTAATCCAGTTTCGATAGAATAATTATTACGAATATATTTATAAAAAGAAATCACTGCAATCTGTTGATTGTCCATTGCAGATGTTTCTGATCGATATGATTTACTATTCACAAACGTGTAATAAATTGTGTACTTAATTATATATTATATTCTTATTCACAAGCTAACTTACTATCGAAGCTGCTCAGAGCAATCGCAAATGCTTGTAATGTGCATAATGGAAATCTGTAATCCATTGTAAAAACATCTTCTGCTACACGACCAAATTGCATGACAACATAATCAACTGTAACACAAAATTTAATATTAATTTTCAGAATCAATCACTTGTTTGTTTAAATTAAATGTAGAAAATACAAACCATCACTATCATGTACAACTTGAAAATTTTTTACAGAAGCTTGCGTTACGCGTCCGTGAAAATTAAGTACATACGATTGCGTATCATCATTCCACACAGGAGTTTTATTATGTAATTCTATTAAGTTATCCATATTTTTGGTTTTCCAACGTTCTATAAAAAAAAGGTTCATATTGATATCTCAATTTTCTTAACGATTTACCCAATAAAATAATAGTGAAGATATACCAAGTAAAGTTTCTGATTCATCTCGTGGACAAATTTCAACTCTTTTTTGATCTGACGTCATTCCAGGAATGATAACAGTCATTTTGCGTGGTCCTTTGAATCCTAAAACATTAGTGTCGTATATCACTGCAGCTAATTCTTGTCTTGGATTAAAACGATCGTCACGTTTATCGTCTTTTATTAATGAATATCCATTATCGTAAACAGTAAACTGCGTTCCCAAAAGATTCGACCTTAATTTTCCGATGTAAGACTCTCCCGCCCGTGAGAGATCTGTAGGATCAGTGGAAATTAAATAATTACTCGTCGTACTTTTTTTTCTTTTGCGCCCAGCTAACAAAAATATCTGTAAATGAAAGACTGAACGTTGTTTCTATTCTTTAACAGAATAACAACCATTATTTAACAGCTCAACTGATTAGAAGAATCAATACACACTTTTTTGCCATAATCACGTTCTAAGTGTAAAAAATAGGTTGGATAGAGACCACGATCCATACCCTTCCTGTCACGTGTTATCCTACATTTGTAATGCATTTTTTTATTTGCTGGTTGTAATACAAAATGCTCAATATTGCCTTCTACGTTTCCTTCCAGTTCTGGGCTCTACATAAAAAGTATAAAATTTTTTTCTTTATATTCTCATCTTACCTTATCTTTATATATTTATGATATATAATCGTTATTTGCTTACTGAAGAATTATTTTCTCTATTAATGAGCATGCTAGCCCCATCCGATGGTGCTACCCTAAGTGGTGAAGGACATGGTAAAGATTCTGAAGGTGAATGTATATCTATGGGTGATGATTCTTCATCTGCACAATCAGCGGCTTCCATAGTTTGATAAAAACCTCCTTCTGTACTTACTTCTGTGTTAAAATCAATATATCTTTTTATATTACAACTGAAGTAACATAAATTTTTAATCAATATCATGATATTAACATACCATTAATTCTTGTTTCTATATCCTTATTCTCTGAAAATGTACTTAAATCAGGGTTTGTCTGTGATATACTAAACTGTAGTGGCCCATCGTATCCTATAATAATTTTATGAAATATATCTAGAAATTTAATTTATCTGCATTTTTTATATCCTTTACAAAAATACCTCGAAGTTCTTTATTTGGATTCATCCATTTTGTAGAGTGACTCGTAAACTGTGTACTTGATATATTAGATGCCTGTACCATTCCTCCAGCACCACTCTGTCTTTTTTGTTTCATTTTTTGTGCAATTAATTGCCTCTATAATATATTGTTAATTATTAGTTAATAAAATAACTTGTAATATCTTACAGGTTCTTAATGTTCCTTATTATTAGTTTACCAATATTTTAAAAATAAGCATTTTGTGCATCTTTTTACACTTGTATAAACAGGAAGAATTTAAAGCTTGCCCCTATTTAAACAACAGTTTAATAATACTAGTACTCAAAATTTGTATACTTTAACATAGCCTTTAATAGTAGATTAATTACTTGAATCATTATACTTAAATTTAATAATCACTTAAGATTGACCTACTTTTTATTTCTGTGTATATATATATATACTGCGGTAAAAATAATTATAAATTTTCATAGAAAATTCATAAAAATTATTTTATCAAATTTTTGTTTTTTTAAATATTAAGCATATAATATGTATTCTTGTACTTTAAATGAAATTTAAAATTCTTAAATTATCGTATGCAGAAGCTTATATACCTGCTGTTCGAGTTTTTGTTGTCTTAAATCTAAAGATGTCATACTGGCAATATGTATTGATGAGAACTGTCATATACGATTGATTTTCAGAATAATTCAACTTATCACAGAACCAGTTTGTTTACGCTAAACATATATCGTCGCCCATGGCTACCTAGGCAACCGAATGATAGAAAATTGTAATACATTTTTAAGGCATAATCGCATCAAAGAAAACTGTCAGTCATTGCACAATGTAAATAATATTTGCTCGTTTTATTGTAGTTTTATATAAGATTCAAAAATAATTTCAGTAATTTTTTGACACACTTCTTTTAAAATTTATATTTATATTTTAGAAGGAAATAAAATATTACATGACCCATAATTTATAGAAAGTTTTAGTCATAAATTAAAATTGTTATTCAAATGTTATAACATTAATTATTTAAAAAAAAATTAATTGTATTAAATATTCATCAATGATTGCAATGAAAAATGTATATAATTTATTTCTGATATAGTTCTTATAAAGATATAACACGGTTATGAGTATTACGGATCTGTGAGTTGAGACATGTTTCATAAAACACAGTCTCATGTCTATATCAGTTTTACCTAAGTTATATGTTCTACCAAATACTTTTATGACTAATCGTTTAGATTTACGATCACGCTATATTTTAGTAGGAATCATAATGTTAAAAATCTTATGTCAAGGTGAAAAGCGTTTATCCAAATCCTGCATTACCAACAATCCGATGTTCTAAAATACCAATCGTTTAAAAAGAAGTCAGAGTTATCAATCGTTGATGGTGAACAATAATTTCATTTACTTAATAACAATTGTGTTAAAAAATTTCTAATAAAATGTTGAAAATAATTTATTATTTATTCGCTTATTTATTTTAACCATGTATCATTGTGTTTGAAATTTATTTCAAAGAGTTTATGAATAGTGAATGCCAAAAAATAATTATTTTATACCTAACCTTACTTTTGATTTGTTACTTAAACAAATATGATTATTTTTGTTACTCTATCAGTATATACAATGTAATCAACATTCATGAAAAAATCACATTGATATGCACGTAATTTGTTGCTTAGGTTCTATGTTTCTCATTGACAAAATAATGGATGTTCCTGCTCCAACTCCACAAGATCTTCAAAGAAAGCTTTATTTTTTAGTAGAACAGCTTCAACATATGGCTGGGGAACTTCCTGCAAAATACCAGATGCGTCTTCCTTATGAATTATTGTCTGGTTTAGCTAATTCACTATTAAATGATACAATCTTTGAAATTGTTAAAGGATTAATGGAAATTCAACACGTTACAGAGAAACATCTTTTCCAACAGCGTCTTCAATTATTGAACCAACAAAAAATTGAAACTCAAGAGTCTATATCATCAACATCTACAGAAGAAGAAAGAATAGCAATAAAAGCAGCATTACATAAAAAACATAAGGAAGAATTAAAACAATTGGATATGAAATTAGTTTTACAGCTGGATCAAAAAGTAGCTGATCAACAAAGCATTTTAGAAAAAGCTGGAGTACCTGGATTTTATGTCACAAACAATCCAATAGAAATTCAAGTACAAATGAGATTATGCGATTTTATAATTAGACTTAGCAAAATGGAAGTTCCAAGTTAATGTTAACTGTAATTTATAAAAAACTGTATATTAACACTTTGCTAGTATCTTTTCAGTTAAGAATTTATAATTAAATTCTGAATTATGTACTTTAAAATTTATTTTAACTAGTAAGTTATGCAATGAATTAATTATTTTTCATACATGCTATTTTTGTAAAACTATTTTTGTATTCATTTTTATATAATTAATGTAATGAATAAAATAATTGATTTTTCAGGTCTTCTGAAAATCGAGGTATTTGTAACACATTCATATAAAATATTCTTTTTATTAATCGAGATTTTTGGAAATTATATGAATTATGTACAATTGATGTCTATATAGTAAATAACACTTTGTAATACAGAACAAATGATGTTCTGCATATAAACGATAGATCGTATTTACATTTTATTATAAGTATTAATTTCAAGTATTGAATTATTACATTATATGCAAAGATAAGAAAAGATAGTATTTACAACTATTTTCAAAATAAGGCTTATAAAAGAAAATTATTAATGTATTGTGATAAAGAAATTGAATTTATCATATACTGAACTTGCTTATCTGTCTTTTAGAATTAAATAAATTAGTTCTCTATTTGTACAAAAAGATTGTATAATTCAAAAACTGCAGATTCTTTATGCTAAAGTAAATCAATAAGTTGTTTAATATTTTACAATTTGTTTTGTTAAAAATAGTAAAGAACTTTTCAATTTGATTTGGCACGAAGAACCTACAATTTTCAAGTCAGGAAACCTTTTCAAAATTCTTTATATATCTAAATGACATACATATAAAAAAAAGTATTTGCCAAAATGAATTCTGTTTAATCGTTTTATACATCCAAATGTTTCAAATGGACTGTAGGTACGTAAACCTGTACGCTAATTAGTTTTTAAAATATGCAAGTACTTAGTTTTTAAACAATTCAGTCTTTTTACTCAAAAGTGGTGCACTTTGTGGAGTTGTAACATTAACATCTAATTTCTGGTATTGAACATTATTAGCAGTTTGCGGTTGCTCTGTTTCAAAACATATACGATATACGTCTTCAAAATGTGAAGCAAAGTGAACTTCAAGACCATCCGTTATGTACTTGGGTAAGTCGTTAAAATCCTTCTTATTTTCCTCGGGTAAAATTACACAGTTTACGCCGACTCGTTTCGCCTTAAAGAAATGTAAATTTTATGTATTACATGCAATTTATATTTAAATAAAATATACTTATGATACTTACGGCAATTATTTTTTCCTTAATACCACCAACAGGAAGAACTCTACCCATGAGACTAAGTTCTCCTGTCATTGCGACATTCTGTCTAATAGCTTTATTTTTAGCTAGTGAAATCAATGCTATCGCGATAGTAATACCTGCACTTGGGCCATCTTTTGGTGTGGCGCCTTCAGGAACGTGCAAGTGCAAATGAGAATCGTACAAGAAAGTATTAGATGGGTCTTCCCGTTTCAAAAAATTCCTTGCAACCGTCAACGCTATTTGAATAGATTCTTTCATTACATCACCTAGATGACCAGTAACTTCAAAAGTACCATCTGCCTTTCCTGGTATCAATGGTTTCCTAATTGTTGTTTCAATAAATAAAGTAGAACCACCCATGGCAGTCCATGCAAGACCCATAACTACGCCCGGTGGTGTAATTTCATACATTCTATCATGTGTAAATACAGGTTTCCCTACGAATTCGTGCAAATTTTCTGCGGTTACATCAACTTTTTCCGATTCTTTCTTAACTACTTTGAATGCTACTTTTCGATGAACTTTTTCTATATGTTTCTGAAGACTTCGTACTCCTGATTCTCGGCAATAAGACTTAATTAATAAATGAAGCGCGCTATCATTTATATTAATTTGGCCATTAGTAAGACCCGATTCATTCATAGCTTGCGGTACTAAGTATTGCTTAGCGATTGCAAGTTTTTCTTCTGCTACATAACCTGACATATCTATCATTTCCATACGATCTCTCAAAGGTTCCGGAATAGTATCAATTACGTTTGCCGTACAAATAAAAAGAATTTTGGACAAATCGACCGTTACATCCAAATAATGATCTAGGAAATTTGCATTTTGTTCTGGGTCTAACATTTCAAGAAGAGCAGAGGCTGGATCTCCTTGATGACCTCTAATAAGAAACAAAAATAATATTAACAAATTGTTTAATACTTCGTGATTATAAATCCAATTCATAAAATTCTATAATTACTTACTTTCCAATTTTATCGACTTCATCAATTAGAATCAATGGATTTTCAGTCTTGGTTTTTTTTAAACATTGAATAACTTTTCCAGGCATAGCACCCACATAAGTTCTTCTATGACCTTTGATTTCTGCTACATCTGTCATACCACCAACGCTAAATCTGAAATACTCTCTATTAAGGGCACGAGAAATTGATTTAGCTATTGACGTTTTCCCAACACCCGGTGGACCATGGAAACATAATATTTTTCCTTGCGTTGATCCTTTCAGTTGACTAACAGCAATAAATTCTAAATTTAAAAGAAAACAAAAGATGTAATTTATGCAATGAATAAGTGCATATTCATCAAGCACTTCATTACCTAAAATTCGTTTTTTTATATCTTCCATTCCATAATGATCTTTATCCAAAATTTCAATTGCTTGTTGAAGATTCAAATTTTCAGAACTGGTTACACCCCAAGGCATGGAGGTTAGCCAATCTAAATAATTTCTTGTCACACTGAAAATAAGATTATACTACCAAATTAAAAATTGAACTTAATACTATGGTATAGAACTTGAATGCATCAAAAACTTATTATAAAATAATTATAAAATAAGTACATACTTAAATTCGCTACTATGACTTTCTAAGAAATTTAATTTATTTAATTCTTCCTCAAGTACATCCATTACTGCTTTTGGAACAGTTTTCTCTCTTATTCGTTCTCTATACTTTTCAGCTATTGCATCTTTGTCGTCTTTTTCTAGTCCCAATTCTTTTTTAATAACTTTCAATTGTTCATGAAGAATATACTTTTTATGTTGTTGTTTAACTTTTTCCTCGACTTCTCTACCAATCTTTTGTTGAAGTTTACTTAGTTCATATTCTTTTTTTAGAAGTGCAAGTGATAATCTTAGCCTTTTTAATATCTACAAGTAAAATTATTGCTTTAATTATTTAAATAATAAATTACTTTTATGAGTGACGCGGAAAACAATTCCTTACATCCATTTCTTCCAATACTTGTTGTAATTCCTGTGCATCTGCTCCTGTCAAAGCTGCACCTAAATCGCTCAAGTAAACTGGATTATCCACAACTCTTTGACCTTGGTGTAACATTTGTTGCAAGGACTCACGGTATAATGGATTCATACTTATTATGTCTCTGATTGTTTTAATTAACTCTTGAGTTAAAGCCTGTACATTAATTTTTTTGTCATATGTTGTAACAATTTTATTATAAGTTATATTTATTTATTAAATGGAACAAACTTTATATGTTTACCTTAATTTCTTCAGTTTGCCGGAATTTTTCATGAGTAATATTTACAACTTCTACCATCAATAAAGGCTGAGGTGAATTAGGATTAGCTTGAGGTGAATTAGGATTAGCTTGAGGTGCAGATTCAGTAGCACCAACTTTTTCTTCATTTTTTTCAACAACTGTTTCAACATCTTTATTTTCTGAAATATTAATTTCTTCAACTTTTTGTACTTTATCTGGTTCTGCTATTTTAGGTTCCATCTTTTTACGTATAAAGGATCTACGATTTGGTTTACCACTTGTAACTGGATCATCTACGAAAACGTAAATTTTTATCTTTAGTAAATATCACAAATGAAAGATTAAAATAAGAAACTTTGGTATTAAAGATACCTTATTGAGATATCTCATATTTTGTTAAAATATTATAGACATAATATATAGATTTTGAGTTAAACTTTATTCTTACCAGGAGCAGATTTTTGGAGATCTTCTAAAATCTGACCAACAATTTTAATTCTTCTATGTGCCATAACAACTAATCTTAATCGATTGCCTAAATCTTGGACTTCATGAATTTGTGCAAATGTTCCAACTGAATAAACTTCATCTAAATTTTGTACAACTTCTGCTTCATTTCTACCAAAATTATGTATTATATTTAATAAAATTCACTATAGACATTCATTGTAGAAACAACAATCATAATTATGGATTAAATTAAATTATATTACTTACTCTTCTGTTTTCTTTAAAAAGATTCCAACATAAGGTTGATTTAATTTGACTTTTCTACGAATTAAGTCCATAAGTATTGGATTAGTAAGTTCAACAAGTTTTATAAATCGTGGAAATACTGGATTTCTATTAATTGCTATGACAGGTACATGAGGCCACTCTTCTGGAACAACAACGGTAGCTGGTAATGCAGGTGGATCACTCAAGTAATCTTCACTGTTTTCACTGAAAATTAGGATATACATTCATTACATGTTAATTTAGTGAAATCATAATTCTAAAAATATTAGTTATTTAAATTTAAATATGTAAAAAATGAACCTAGAAAGTATAAAAGATTTACTTAGGCGAATCCCTGTCAGATTTTTTAGTTGCAAATAACCTGACTGGTATAACGGCTGCATTTTGTCGACGACTATGAATATTTCTACTAAACATTCCATGACATTCGGTAATTTTTATTCTTCTATATTGCGGGCGCAAGTATATTGATAATTCTTCATGATCTAAACGGTGATTTCTGGAGAAGGATCGAACGTTCATCATACGATGCCGAAAAACGGGTAAAAGCTTAAAATTCATCGCTGTCGCCAAACGCATTATTTCCAATTTTAATCACAACTTATAAAAATATTATTCACGCGTTGAAACTACTTATAACTTGTATAAGGTTATAATTTTCTTCCCTTGATCTGCCTGATGCAACTCCGCTAACCTAGAAGAAATTCGTGTGTCGACTATATAAATATTGTACACATTATAATACTTATTGAGTTGGTACAAGCTGATATTATGTATATAATGATATTACAATTTTAGCTATACAGTAAAAGAGTGGAATGTATGATTTTCATTTGTTGTTTAACATAATCATTGATATTTTATTGATGTGTATGTGACATTAATTTATATATAGAAGTATTTACATAAAATAATCTTCACAGAATAATCTTCGTTCCACGGGAGATTATATATATACCATCTGACAAATTTTCGATATTATATGTATATCAGCTTTGATTGGATCAAACTGTAAACTCTACTCTAAAGTATGAATTTCTTTGTGAAAAAATAGGCATGATGAAGATTCGAAGAAAATTAGGAGATATTTGGGAAATTTATCCTTCTTCCTATTGTATTCACACTCGAGTGTAAATCTAGCTTTCCTTGCGATATCTTGCATGTACGATGTACGATGCATATTAGTTTGAACCAAATTTCAAATCGAGTCCAATATTATTTTTATTCGTTGCAAAATGACCCAACTTGCTTTTGAAAGCAAATGTTTACTTGGACAAATTTTTTATCCGCTTCGAAAATATCTTTTGTGAATTAGGCATAATGACTATCAATGCTCTTGTACCACACAAATAGGGGGATTCCCTCTTAAATCTACCTCTGAATGTATATAATTTCCAATTTATAGGCGAACAAATTTGATCAATATTTCAACAAAAAAATAAAATTAATATCTGGTGTCCAGCAAAAGTTATTTCTATCATGTAATGTATAGACTTATTTATAATATAGATCTGTTTTTAAGTAGATAGTCTTCGGAATGCGTATAATGAATTACACACATGTAGTCCTGCAGTCAAGTATCGAGATTTTAGCTCATTCGTGACAAGAATTGCATAAGATTTATTAAATATTCTTTTCGTTATTTCAACAAATGTAATATTTAAATAATCATAATATTATGTAAGAATTAAGTGAATGTTTAGTTATCACTTATTCTTTAATTAATAAAAATACAAAATAACAATGTCCGTTTCTCGCGTTGAAGAACTAATTAATTATTTTAAATCACATAATAAAATTAAAGAGCAACAAAGTCATTCTGCTAAAGTACACAGCGTGGGATGGAGTTGTGATGGAAAACTTTTAGCTTCGGGTTCTTTTGATAAATCTGTTTGCATTTTTTCTCTCGGACCTGATCGTTTGGTATATAAACATAACCTTAAATACCGGTTATTTTGATTCTTTAATGTTACATACTACGTGATTTTCAATTAACTTTTAATTTGTATTTTGTTAAAATATTTATTAGATATTTTTAACCTTATAATAATATAATTAATGTTAATCATATTGAGTTTAATTAAGTTTGAGGCTATCATTTTTTATCTTCATGATATTTTATTTTTATTTTCTAATTACGTTCTACAACTAATATTTGGCATGCTAATGTTTTATAATGTTAAAGTTACATGTAGCAATATTTAGACTATTTAAAAATAAACTAATTAAAAATAAATTTTTAGAAGCAAGAAACAACTTTTAGAGGACATGGTGGTAGTGTAGATCAACTGTGTTGGCATGCCTTTTACCCAGAATTGTTATCTACTGCAAGCGGAGATAAAACAGTTCGTATATGGGATACAAGGACTCAAAAATGCACAGCAAATATCAGTACAAGAGGAGAGAATATCAATATATCATGGTCACCTGATGGAAACACAATAGCAGTTGGTAATAAAGAAGATTTAGTGACTTTCATTGATGCAAGAGTAATGAAAATTCGTGCTGAAGAACAATTTAATTTTGAAGTAAATGAAATCTCATGGAACAAGGATTCTGATACATTTTATCTAACTAATGGCCAAGGTTGTGTACATATCCTTAGCTATCCAGATTTGGAACTATTACATGTGATCAAGGCACATCCAGGAACATGTATTTGTATAGAATTTGATCCAACTGGGAGGTATTTTGCAACTGGTTCAGCAGATGCCTTAGTTTCTTTGTGGGATGCAGATGAATTATGCTGTTTAAGAACATTTTCAAGATTAGAGTGGCCAGTGAGAACTATATCATTTTCTTATGATGGACAGTTATTAGCTGCAGCATCTGAAGATTTAGTAATTGATATTGGTGAAGTAGAAACTGGAGAAAAAATTGCAGATATACCTGTGGAAGCAGCAACATTTACAGTTGCATGGCATCCAAAACAATATTTATTAGCATACGCGTGTGATGACAAAGATACTTACGATAGAAAACGTGATGCTGGTAGTTTAAAAGTATTTGGATTTGCCAATGATTAAAATATTATTCTTAAACTTTTTTATAAAAATATATGATTACATTAAAAAACTATATAATTTGATTTTTGTACCTTTCCTAGTACATATTTAATCGATTATTTTTACTAGCAAATTTACTAGCAACTAGGATTTTTAGAATTCAAACTTAATTAATAAGTATATATAAGATTACAACTTGTAAGGATTTGATGAAAAGTTAATGCTATACAATTTTTATTTTTAAATAATCAAAAATGATTGAAAAGATGTTAAAATTAATTTTTAAATATTATGTTGAATTTTGGAACAAGCTTCAATAACAAAATTTGTTCATATTTCATTGTTATGATATTTGTTGACATGGTTACCAGTACTCATTTATTGTCTGCCTTCCTATACCCACCAAGATTGCTGAATTTTTTATTTAAAAAAATTATATTAACTTGTCTTTATGATGTCAAGTTTAAAAAACCATGAAATTAATTGTGAGTGCCAATATACATTAACATTAATGGACAAGGTTGCTGAAACAAAATGTTCTGAAATGAAGGATAGTTTTAATCATGTGCCCAGTATTCATGAAGTAGACGAAGAAGATACAGATGAAGAACATATTTGTGATCATGAAATTGACACTTCCAAAGATACTCAACAAATTACGGAAGTAACAGAAGGTATAGATGGGGATTCTATTTATAGTAATGAATCATTTTGTTCCGATGAATCTTATAGCGAATCTGAGGAAATCAATAACAGTTCAAGATATTTAAATGATTCCCACTCTTCATCTCGAATCACTGCTCATAAATGTGATAAGAAAAATAATGAAGACAATGGTCCACAGTCTGAAAGTGTTACAATAAACAATGACATAAATTCTATTTGTAAAAGTTCAGTCTGCGAAGACGGTTCTCTGGCATGTAAACAACTGAAAAGTAAACGAAAAAACATGAGTTTTACAGATGCAGAATTGCGCAAGATTGAATGGGAAAATCAACTTCTTTTAAGAAAAATAATGGCTCAACAGAAGCCAAGGGACAAGGTATTTCACAAAAATATACAACAACCACGAATAAGCAGTTCTGCAATAAATAGAAGAAAATTACAGAGAAAAATAGAGAATGAAAATATAGTATGTATAAATATTTAAATTTAACAAGGAGTATGATTAAAATGTTTCACTGTACATATAGTTGCCATGAATTATTTTATTAAAATATTTTCAGTTGCTACTCCAAAGGATACAACAGGCTAAACCATGTGTTATGAATACTATGACAAAATCTGGCTATAGACAGACAATTTTATAATCTGTAACAAACAATTTATATATTTTACACTAATCAGAATGAAATATATTTGATAATTTTTTACTTCTTAACTCGAACACTTGTCGTACAAACCTTATGGTTGTGATTTATATATGAAAATATATAACTGTAAGTGAATGTTTTTTAAAATGTTAAGCACATAAAAGCAAATAAATATATAATATTTTCGTGATAATCAATTATAATAAATTATTGTAGTCTTCTTTTGTTACAATATATTATACTTACTATTTGAAAAATTTTATTCAAGATGAAAACGAATTTCTTGTCAAGTATCTAGTTTTATCCAAATGTTAATAATTCTTTGAAGTTTATATACGCAATTAAATATTCTATATTATAATCTATAAGAAATTACTAAAACACAGCAATTACCAGTCTTGAAGAGTAGGTACACATTTTTATTTTGTTTTGTATACATCACAACTTTGTAAAATGTTTTGAAAACTTACCGAAGAAATTTCTACAAGTCAAGACTATAAAAATCACAGTTCTCACTCGTTCCAAATAACTTAATTGTTATTTTTTGTGTAACGTCAAGACCAACATCCTTTAAGTATTGTAATCATTTTTCATGTACATGTAAAAAGTACAAAAAAAATGATACAGAACCAAGAAACAGAAATCTATAAAATAGGAGTTGTGGTCACACATTTATATTGGTTTCTTAATTAATCTGTGCTTTTTGGTTGTGAAATCTTATTTCAAATTCAGGTATGTATACGACTTTGGTTGGTCATCTAGACTCGACATTATTAACAGAAAAATGTAATTTTGTTTCAATAGCAGAAATTTCAGTAACATATTAAAGTATTAATAATAACATAGGCCAACAATTGATAACATGAATATTTAACGAGTACAAATGAATTTTGTCTGAACTTATTCAATATTACAATGCGAGGTACTATTTAACAACATATCACAATACGCGAAACATCAATAATAATAAAAACCAGCTAGTTGTTTTTAAGCACTATTGATCACAAAAGTGTGACTAATAAATATATAATTACTTTTCATTTAAGAAAAGAAAATTTTCAATCAGGTCTAGATATCACAAGACAAATATCGAAAATTTTTGGGAACGAGGTTAGTCTTCGTGCTTCTTCTTCCAAGATTCCGAAGATGACGGTGTCCATATTGTACTGAGTGAACGAAATGGATCAAAACCCGATCTTTCCTGTAACACCAATTCAAGTACATAAATGCGAATTCCTATAAAAACAAACATTCTCATGCTGAAGAGATTAATGATTATGTTTTTACTTGTGTATCTGATTCAGTTGGTAATGAGGGCAACTGAGAAATAATAGGAGGTGTAGCTGCACCCCATGGACCAGCAGCCCATACACCTCCTGTATTTACACCCCAAACACCACTTCGTTCTTCACCTACGGCTGTTCTAGTATATAAAGGTTCCCAATTTGTTTCTACTGTTGCCCAATTGTCTGAAATGTTATATTTATAATATATTTGATATTTAGCGTGGTATATGTATACATACATAGATTCATGTTAGGTACAGTAGACTTTCGTTATATTACTGAATAATCTAATATTTAAAAATTTGTTTCTACTCAACATATCGGATATATTTCTAATATTTACCTTTTAACGTATCCGTTAGTATCGAAGATTTTTCCGGAGATTTTGACGATTCCAATTGAAATCCACTTGTGTTATCAGATAATAACTTGAGCATGGAATTATTATCTTCCCATAACTGACATCGTGTATCTTCCTCAGGACTTTCTAATTCCATTAATGGTTCATCTGTTTCTGGAAGATCATCGTACGGCACCAATTCCCGTTCAAACTAAAAAGTACCATTTACACTACGACACGTAGAAAAAATTACATTCACTTATGACGAATAAAACAATTACTTACCGGTGATTCTGTAAAAGCATTTATGAAGTAACTATTTGAGTGTTGTGTGTTATTCTGTATCTTTAAAGAGTCCTGACTAAATGGTTTCTCTTTTTCGATAGATTGCATACAAAGAGGCGGAGATTTCGATATCACCCTGTACTCCTTGGTATTTTGTATCAAGTCTTGACTCGAATGCTGTTTCATATAATCTACATCTTTGGTGTCGTTAGCAAAGACCATTGATAAATTATGCGTATTCGTTTGAGTTTTGTGTAATTTATTTAAGCTTGAGAATGGTGAAATACTTTCTTGATTTCGTGCCACAACATCACTAAATCTAGCTCTATTTTCTCCCCAGCATGCTGGTGGCGGTGGAATTGGAGTAGAAACTGTTCCTAGTGTACGTGCCGAATCTTCCCTTTGGTTTGTACTTCCGTTTAATGATGTTGCTGTGAAATAAAATATTGAATTTTAGAAATTGATGTTTCGGGTTTTGTACAATTTTCAAATTAAATTTACTTTTCATATGTCCTTTTTCAATGCCTCGACGTTTTTGAGATCCTTTATCCTTCCTAGGAGGATTTTTATTTTGTCTAGGTATTTTAAATGACGATTCAACGGTGCGAGATGTATGAATGTGATGCTTTATGGTAGATCTCGTATTTGTTTTCCATCTGTTTGGATTATTATGTCTGTCCTTATCGTACTCGTCGTCATCGCAATCGCCCTCATAATTATCTCTATAATCTACGCATGGCACCGGAGCAATTGATTGAGGCTTAGTTTTTTTAGTTACAGGTTTCCTTTGTAACTTCTCTGATTTTCCACAAGATTGATCAAAATTCTGTAACAATATATATTCTGATCAAAATACTACAAAAAATATTTTGCTTACAAATTTAAATAATTTCGGGACTTTGCAATTTGGGATTTAGTGGTGTCGATACTACCTGAATAGTATCATAACCGATCGTTGTAATTGACAGCTAGTCTGTATGTGTATGAAATCTTTTATCATAATATGTATTCTCACCTTACATGGTGGTGGATCATCTTGAACAGAACTTTCTGTCGTCGTAGACGACGTTTCTTCTTCCGATAGATGAACATTATTTCTTTGACTACTATTCGAGTCAAACTTTTTAAAAGATACATGATTGTTATTGCTACTCGTAACCGTACTTTGTTTTCTTTTATTATCTAATTTATTACCCCGTGTATTATTCAAGAGTCCCGTTGTGTCAACTTGGACTTCATGATCAACCAATTTTGTTTCCTCTTTAACATTCCCTGCTTGATTAGATTTCCCCTTTCTATTTGTTACTGGACTTGTTTTCACGAATGTATTTACAGTATACTTTTTTTCCTGAGTTCCCTGAATATCCGGAAATATGTTTTCCGTCACACAATTATCCGGCTGAATATCCTGCACGTTATTTTGTTTTTTATTATTCTTTTTCTTGGCACCAAGCGTAATATTACTTATAATATTACTATTATCTAAAGTCGACTCTTCGCATCGTTTAAATGACATTAAATTCTTTGTCTCGGTGTCTAATTTAAATCTGCGTTCTTCATCCGCGGACCAATCAGGAATTTTCAGACCTTTTTGTACATTGTCTTTATCCTTAAATTTTTTCACGTTCATTAATGCCCAATCTGGGTAAGTTTCTTCTTTCTTTATTACTTTTTGTTTATCCTCGTTTATTAATTTTTCCTTCACGGAAGTTGATTCTTGCGTTGAATGTACAGGCATGTGCGATAACAATCTTAAATCTAAAGGTGGTTGGACCGGACTTTCTCTTGAAAAGCTAGCAATGGCTCCTCGTAATATCCGGTCTGCTTCGAGAAACGAAATAGCGAGAACGCATAATAACAGTATAGATGAAAGACTTATGGCTGCCCAATGTACAGCATATTCCCACGATGGCCTTGTAAGTGCAGCCGTACAAGCTTCCAAAGAATGTGGAGGAAGCGTCGCAAGTAAATTAAGTATTACCATACCGTTTTCGATATCGCTATCGGAACCTAAACTCGTTGATATTAAAAGTTTTCTTTCGACTCGTGACAAAGTAAAGTCTGGTGTGAATGCTATTTCAACTTTCTTCGTCGCATTTGGATTCAGTTTAAATGACATACAATTTAATACTTTAAAACCGTATCCTTCACACCGTAAACCATTAATATAAAAATCGTACACTTCTATGGGTAACTCTCCCGTATTTCTTGCCATGAAAGATCTTTTCACTGTTAGATTTGGAACTGGATTTCGCTTAAGTTGTTCTCCTGTTATTAAAAAAATAATGTGTTATAACTTTGTTTAACTGTTTGGATTATTGGTAATTATTATGATTTATTGGTATTATGTGATAATTTAAAATGAGGCATTCTCATTTTCCCATTTTACTTAAACAGTAGGACGGAGGTGAAGAAACGTACATACGTTCACAATCTTTGAGATGTTTATCCGCAAGTTCAAATAATAATGGTGTAGTTGAACCTGGTTTGCGATTTCCAAACCTAAATTGTGCATTTGTTCCTTGGCCTATCACGCGTAGTACTTCCAAAATAGTCATATTGTTTCTATGAAATTTGAAAAATACAGTATTTGTACAAACACAATAGCAACATATTTCCGCACAAGATATAATCTGGCCTACTAGAACATATACACTAAGTTTGCTAGACAGTTTATGATAATAAAGAAAGAATACCTTATATACAAAAGTGCAGATGATAAAGAAGGTGAGAAAGGTGTGTATGACACTCGAATTGTTTTCGATTCCAAAGGTTTTAAATATAAGGGAATCGATTGTGGGGTTACTGTAACATCCCATTCCTTTTCAAACTTTTCTCGATCTATACTACTTTCTTCTAATTTAAATTCTTCTGCAACTGTTGATCCACATTCCACACATGTGAATTTGAACCTGCACATAAATTATCATAATTATAATTCATAATACTATAAATATTCAAAACGATATTCATTAATTTATGAATGAACTACGTACTTGGCTGGTAATGAATGATAAAGTCTTGCCCCTTGTGGATAATTCCAGTCCATTACTAACTGTATTATTAAAGGACTGGTACTTGGATTGTACACTTTAATCGTACTATAGGATGTATTTCCAACTTGCGTTAAAGGAAACATTAGAGCAACTTTATTTTTATTATTACCAAAACCAGTCAATAAACTGGGCCAATGTGGTTTTATATTTAAATAAAATTTGTGCCCGCGAACTTCCGTTGTATCTAGACGCATCGTAATATTGTCCCAAGAACGACCGCCTGTTGAATTGAGAAAACGTGTGTATCTTGTGTTTAATAAATTTAAATCAGAATCTCTAGTATGCGAAGGAAGAGCTAAAGTATTCAACCACTGCTTGCCAGCTGCAACAAAAAAAAAATATTATTTTTACAATTCATTGTAATACTACTATATTATAACATTAATAATTGTACATAAGAGAACTTACCATTACTATCTAATGACAGACCTAAATAACAATAATGCTTACAAGCCATTGATGGCTCAATTCTTACTGACCCAATATAATTTTCACCTTTCGTTATAATAGGCATTGATGCTTCTTCCAAAGGAATATATTTTATTCTATTATCTTTATTTACAGGCGCAATTTGCGTTACCTGCATGGGTCTTACAAATGTTGAATATACTTTTACTTGTTGTACACAAATTGACCCCTGCAGCATTAATTGTTACATCAGTAAATGCTTTCTTTATTATCGTTGCTGTAATTACTTACGGGAAAACAATCAGTAAAAATAAGTTTCTTTACAGATATTCTTCCATGCGCAACTCGCATATAAACTGGTAACGTAAATCTGTCGTAAGTTGTTCTAACAAATACATCACCGACAATGGTAGCCTCCTCGACCACTGGAGTTTTTACTTTAATTTTAAAAATGGCCAAGTAGCCAGGTTTTATGTATTGCTGTAATTAATATATTTTTCAATATATACCTCATTTGTCAAAAATATATTTTCATTAAAATTATATCACAAGATATTATATTATTATTATTATTATGGTAAAAATTAGCTAAAGCGAATTTTCTTTCGGCCTAACTTATAATTGCTGCTAAACATAATGATTTAGGAATCCAAACATACCGAAATTTGACGATATGTATAGATAATAAAGAAATATAGGAACCTAGATGTATAAAAATCAGAGAATATAAAGATCCTGAGTAAATAATACATACTTACATTGCCTGTATGACTGCATACAGTTATATTACGTAACTCTTTATCTAAAAAATCTGCTGGACCTCTTTGGCAACCCATAAGTTCCAGCACTGCACCAGGCATGTTAACTCCCCATCCATGCAAATCTATGTTAATTGGATTTTGGTTTTCTAATGCAAAGATTGCTTCATTTTCAGTTCCGCTTCCTACAGTACCAAAATTCATCGTGCCCTCGTCGCTGTCTCTTTCTTCAGGGACAATTTTTCTTACTTTTCCATCGTAGCTCAGTAATGGAACTTCAGTTACAGAAACGTTCGAATGTATTATAATTGACGATTCCATTTTCACGTTATCAGTTTTTCTATCTTTTGCGAGTTGTAAAGAAAATATATTGACCTTTTGTTCTGGCTTTATTACTCTCGGAATAAAATTTTTTATCTGAAAATTTAATATCAACGTATGCTTTTACGAGAGAATAAGTGATTTTTTCAAACATATTTTTAGCGCATCTACGTACCGTAAAAAGTGACTTTACATGCGATGACATTGTGACATTTGTGATAGCTAACGGCAATTTAAATTTATTAACAACACTAAAATTTCGTGCTTGATTAGATTGGAGAGAACAATAATGTGTAATTGATGCGTTTACTTCTAATCCACCCTGTAGAACTTGTGCTATCCATGGGATTATTAGCTTTTGACTAGAGCCACCGGGACCTATCGCTTTTATTACCAATTTCCCTTTAAAATGTTGTAATTCTAAACCTGTCTTCCCTAAATAACAAATGTACTTTGTTACATAATACGAAAATATTTGATGAAAAATATAAAATTTAATCACATACAGTCATAAATTAATGCTCCAATAGCAATGGGTATATCCGTGTCTCCAGGAATTACCGCTTGTTCAAAATGAAGTTTCAATGCTTTAGAAACTGGAGTACTAATTATATTCTGTAAAAATACAATTATTATGAACTTATAAATAATTTTTCTAGACACTACCAATAAAATTCTTTGTGCCCCACCATAATTTTAATTGGTTTTTTCGCCGAGTTTTTTAAAGCAATAGGATACTGAATGGGAGGTTGTAACGATCCACCCATTCCAAAATTAATTACTCCAGAGTTTCCACCCCAATGAAGACCAGCCCCATTTTTGACTTCGACTTCAACTGTTACAACAAGTATCTCTGATGTATTATTTACTTTAAGTCTGTAATGTAAAGAAGAGTTTATTAAACTAGATTCATTTCGATAAGGAGATAAAAAGTATAAAGATACAAACCTAATGTATGCAGTGTGATTTTTTTCTGTGTAAGCGTTAAAATGTAATCTTATAATAGGCTTGGTTTGATATGGTGGGATTTCCCATAATTCACGTGAACCTTCAGCCTCTCCTGATGGTAATTCCAATTGAAACTCTCCACCGCTACTATATACTTCTAAAACCTGTGCAAATACAAAAAGGATATTGACAATACAACAGTAATACAGTTAAACAGAAAAATTTTAATAACAAATACATACTTGTAAAGCTTCTGCATGTGGATTGTGCATGTATATAAGTGGAGTAAATGTTGCATTTAAAGGTAATTTAACACCCACTACAGGTCTGAGTCGGTATGGACTACTGACACTTATTCCTTTTACCTATAAAAGCAGCTATACTTTTAATATGGTAAAATACATTGAAAATTCGATTTTATAAGTATAATAAGATTGTTACTTGATATTTCACAGTTCCATCCACGGTATGTATAAAAAGATGTGTATCAATATCTCCCTCTTCACGACCAAGAAAAATAACGTCAAATGTTGTGTTTCCCAATGGTGGAATCACCTACATATATCAAACTGTGATCATTTACCATTCATGACATATTACATACAATGTCTTGCTATTATCTATATGTTCTTAATTTTTATATAAATATTATAATATATATAATTAATTAATTTTTGTTTCTGTTCAAGTACAATTCATAGTTGGTTATTTAAATTATTAAGGATGTAAAATTTTAGATTATGAAAAACTTACTTTGTTTCGAAAAAATGATGCATGAAAATGACGTGTATTTCCAGAAATAGATAAAAGATGGATTGTTTTGTTATGATCTTTATTAAATAAGATCACAGTTTCTTGGTGGGGTATACCAAGTTGTCTAAGCAAAAAGACATCATCATTGTACCTAAATTCATACAGAATAATAAAACTAATTAATCATAACTTAGTTACCTTTCCTTGAAATCCAAAACATGTGGTTTGAAATGAACATAAGATAATGAATCTTGTGTTTTATCTTCTTCAGATGTTGTGTCCCTTAAAAAATAATTTTAGAATTATAACAAATTTGTTAATAATCCTTAAATTGTACTTCTAATAGTGGAAATTGAAAATAGGAAAGGTACAAGAAAAATTAGTTTGAAGTAATCACAGTTAGTAAAGCAGTGTTTAGAATTTGATAGCTGTTTAAATACTGTATTATGATGAAATGATTAAATGGTTTAATACTTGTTAAAACATTAAATCCTATGTATGCATTATATCCTATAGTATATTTTACAAAAATCTTATATTTACCACATTGATACCTATATAATTTGTGTATCATATTGCAATAATAATCAATTACTGAATTAATATCCTTGTTTTAAGTGACTATTAAATATTTATGCTACATATAATCAGATCATCAATAAAAAAACCATAATGTAATATATAAATATTTTTAAAGTAAAGAAGAGAATTTATAATAAAAACCTTTCCTACTTCCACTCACCATTATTTTAATGAGTATTATGCTTACCCAGCCCCATGTACTGTATTAGCAAAATCCTAAAAATTAAATACATTATGGATTATATGATATAGACACAAATAATTTATGTATTACAGTTATATATATAATATGTAAAATACAATATATCTGGAATATATTAATATATGTTATATTAATTATAGAATTAAAAGACTTTTCATCTTTTTAAAAAAGAGCTAACATATAGTATAAAAAGGTAATACACCAACCTTATGCATAGACATTGGTATATTGTCCAAAAGGTATTGAACATCATTGTCATCCTGTACAAAGGCTGTAAGTAATTTAATCATATTAACTACTATCGTAAATACAAACACAAATATAATCAACACAAAGTCATAATTTTTATGTTACTGTCACTATCGTCATATACATTATTATTAGTCAAATTATCATTACTGTTATTGTCAATAAAAATTTCTTATCATCGTTAGAAATAATGTATGTTTTATATTCCACTTTTATGTTAATAAAGATCTTCATAAATGTCAATATGACATTAATATGATAATATTATGATGAATGTTTTTTTAATTATTTTAAGCGTGTGATAGTATTTAAAATTTTATTCATTAAAATATGACAATAAATATTTCAAATTTCTATCAATATAATATAACACAGAAAATCCACAAAAAACTTTGTAAGAAGATCTAACTTTAGATACAAATTTATTCATATTAAAGTAATATAAGTTCACTTTCTCAAACAAACAAATACAACTTATTTCTCTTAAACAATAAATATTAAACGATTTTTAAATTACATATGAATAAAATACTGAATAAAAATAATGTTATGTGTAAATATTAGTTGCTTATATATTAAATAATAGTGTATCATCATTTTTTGAAATGTGTATTATTGTAGCTAAGTAAAGGTAATTAAAATAATGTAAATATACGCTCACCGTTATTGTGCCCGTGTAAGGACGGTCGAATTTGTGACGTCAGCTCGAAAAATGTTAACAAGAAAAGGCAATAAAGTACTTTTAACTCAGTCATAATAATAGTCTCACTGTGTTGTTTGCTGTTTTGTCTTTAGCAGAAATGAAAATCCGCTTTCGGCCATACTTTTGCCACTATCGAATTCCAAAGTATCGATTGTACTTCCGTCCGATTTGAAACCTTTCCACAAGTGAATTTCGGTGCAATCAATCTGACGAGGACAGATTATATGTATTTGTATCTTTTATTATTATATCAATATATTGTTGATTTTTGAAACTTATTTATTGATTTGCTAATTGTATATTTCAACCTTTTTCCGTACAGAAATAGTCTCTTCCTCTCGAATAAATCAAGTCGTTAGTTTCTCATTTTATGCAGTTATTATTGTAATTCTAAGATTAAAATTACATGTTTTATTATATATATATATATATTGTTACTATACTGTTTTTTAAAGTTGTTGCGATAACTATGCACGTAATAGTAATAACACAATATATGTAATTTGTTTTGTAATTTGCTGTTTTAGATTTTGTATAATTATTTTTTATAAGTAAATCATAAATTGCGTTTTGTCGTTTAATATAAAATATAAATCATCCAATCATTTTACTATATATTTTTCAATTTTACTATTATTCGTTATATAAAAGATCATACTTTTTGGATAACGAGTTTTCGTTTATCCTGCGCATGTTAGTTTTGATTGGCTCAACACGATATGTAGTTGAATGGAATGCTCATGTATATTTAGGATATTTATGATGTTAAGTTTATATATCTAATGAATAAAAATCTTGTATTATTCTTTATATTATCATTTTTTCACCCACTGACATATTTTTGTCCACTACGTATATAAATACAAATTAAAAAACGTATAATAGTAGAACAATACTAAATGGTCGGAGCTTCATGAAGTTAGCCGCATTGTGCGGATTGAGTATAATCCTCCTTGAACGAATAATAGTTTGGTAGTAACTATAGATATATAATCTAACTTGTTCTACTAATAAGTTGCATGTTTTATATGACTCGATCAATTAGATGATCAAATTGTAATTGGCTGATATTCCTATAATTTCAGAACAATTAGATACACAATAAATACAGATGCATAGAAAAAAGAACCAATATTATGACATATTATTATTGAATAAAAATGCAACAGTGCTATCGTTGAGTAAAGAACCTTGTAGTCACTGCTGCCATCTAATTCTTTAATACATGTGTTTCATATAACCTGAAAAGTAAACAAATGTAAAAATGCAGCATTTTGATGCGGCATATTTAGTCGTTGTTTAAAAGCATAAATAATATAATTATTATTTAATATTATTAATTACTACTCTTTGATATTTATTGTTATTAAGGCTACAACATGGGAAATGGTGGTATGTAATATGTCAATATTTTTAACTGTATTTATTTCATGAAACAACCATATAGAAGTATATAATATCTATTGTACATAAAATAGGTAATAAGACTGACAAAAAGAAACTTTCTTGGATCTATAGAAAAAAGAAAAAATTACAGAAGTCTAAGAATGTGACAGAAAATAGAAATGATAATGTGACAGAAGATAAGACACCTAGGATCATTGTGCGTAATGTGCCATTTAAGGTTGGTGACTTCTTCTATTACTTATATAATTAAAATACGATATTTGTATTGATATATTCATTTTTATTGATCTATACTCTTAGGCAACTGAAGAAGATGTGAGAAAATTTTATGAACCATTTGGTCAAATAGTAGAAATAAATTTTCCAAAACGTCCAGATGGGGCACCACTTGGATGTTGTTTTATTCAATTTAAACAATTAGAACAAGCCTCAAAGGCAATATTTAATACAAATAAAAAAGAATTACTTGGTACTATATTTTTATGATTTTAAAAAATATAAAAATTATTGTTCATAATGATTAATACATTCATAGTCTGGTGACCTTTGAATATGACACATTAATTCTTATTCAGATGTCTTGTGACCTAATATGGGTCATGAAGTATAATATATGAAATATCTTTTTCTTGGATACGTAATAGAAGAGTATGTTTTCGGACCAGACTATGAACCTATTAATAATTACTAATTAATAGTGCATGAAAAATTTATTTGCAGGGAGAATAATAAGTAGTAGTTGGGCTATTTCTAAATCTAAATATTATGAAAAAATAAAAACTGAATCTGCAGTAAATTTAGATGCTGATAAAGTAGATGATAATAATACAAATGAAGATCAGACATCAAATAAAGACGATGGCGAACAAGGTGGAGATTTTGATAACAAAGAAAAATTAACTCAAATAAAAAGAGAAAGGAGAAAATTGCTAAAAGACAAAAATCGAAAGAAAAGAGCAAGAATTATAGTGAGAAACTTAGCATTCCAGGTAAGATGTGATCTATTTTTTATTTTTTTTTATTTTTTGACACCTTTATTTTTATTGTATCCTTAGGTAACTGAAGAAAATTTGAAAGATCATTTTTCTCAATACGGAGAAATAGAAGAAGTAAAAATCTTAAAAAGAAGTGATGGTAAAAATGTTGGATGCGCATTTTTACAATTTGATCATGTACAAAGTGCAGCTAAAGCTATACATTATGCTAATTTACAAGAACTTTTTGATAGGCCAATTGTTGTTGATTGGGCTGTAGCTAAAAATAAATTTTCTAAGAACTCTGAAAATGAAACCAATGGTGAAGTAAAAGTGAAAATAGAAAAAGATAGTGAAGGATCTGAGAAGTAAGTACATACTTCAATTATCATTAACTTTTCTATTACTTTTCATTTAAATTTCAAATCAAAATATGTTTTAACATATATGGAATAAACATTTTGTAATTGTAGTGAAGATGAAAAACACATAGATATTGTAACAGATGCACATAATTCTGATAGTGATGATTCCGTAGAAGTAGAAATAAAATCAGAAAATGAGAATGACGCTTCAAGTCAAGATTCATCTGAAGATGACGAGAAAGAGGACACAAAGGAGATAAAACGCCCACGATATGAGTCACATGATGTATCTGAAGGAAAAACTATATTTCTTAAAAATTTACCCTTTTCTGTAAAAAATGAAGAATTAAAAAAGTATATGGAACAGTTTGGGCCAGTATATTATGCTCTTGTATGCATGGATCCTCTTACTGAGTATTCAAAGGGTACAGCATTTGTGAAATTTAAGGTAAACTTTTGCAGCTTTCTGACATTCAATAACAGAATTTAGAATTTATTTTAGTCAAAATTTAATTTCAGAATGTTGAAGATGCTGAAAAATGTTTATCAGCAGGAAATGAATTACAAATGCAAGATCAAGTACTCGAAGCACAAAGAGCATTAGATAAGAATGAAATTGAAAATAAAGCAAATTTAAAGCATCAGCGTCATAAAGACTCTAGAAATTTATATCTTGTGAAGGAAGGAGGTAATATTTAAAGAAATACACTTTTTGTGATAATATTTATTTTTGCCAGTTGGTAAAGGGTTATTTGTTGCATTAATGTTAATTTCTTTTTAGTTATATTGGCTGGAAGTCCAGCATCTGTTGGAGTTTCTGCTGCAGATATGGCTAAACGATTACAAATAGAGCAATGGAAGTCACAGATATTGCGGAATTTAAATATGTTTGTATCCAGAGTACGATTGGTTATTCATAATTTACCACCTACATTGAATGATGTAAAATTTAAAAAAATAGTTGCAGAATACAGTCCTCGCAATGCAGTTATTAAAGAGGTATCATTCAATTTTAATATAATTTACAGCACAAATTTTTAATCGATCAAAACGTATTTAATAAACTAACTTCATGAAGGTACGCATTATGCGAGATCTCAAGAATGTAGATATGAATGGTGTAGGAAAATCAAAAGAATATGGCTTCGTTTCGTTTACAAGACACGAAGACGCGCTGGAAGCTTTGAGGAACATAAATAATAATCCAAACATATTTACTTCAAAACGAGTACGTAATACAGTATGCATGTATTGTTTTTTTTACAATATAATAAATAAAATTGAAAATATTTGTGTTTTACATAAATTTTTATGTATTTAGAGACCTATAGTGTCCTTTTCAATTGAAAATCGAGTTCTGGTAAATGCTAAACTGAAGAGACTGCAAAGAAGCCGCGAGAATAATCCTCTCTGTTCTGAGAATAATAATAAAAGAAAAGGAGGAAATGCAAACGGAGAAGTTGAAACGAAAAAGTTAAAACTTGAAAATGCAGATAATTCTAATAAAAAATCATATACTGGAGTGATTGCAAAACCTGGTGAGAATAAATTACGATCGAAATTTAATGTAAAAACTCAAGCGATTTTGCACAGTCAAACAGTGAAGAAAGAAAATAAAATGAAAAAGTCTTCTAAAAAATTAGAAATAAAACGAAGAGCGAATATTGCCAATAAAAGTGAAATTAAAGTAAGTATTTGTTTATCGATATTAGTGTATTAATTGCAGTATTATTACAATTTCAATGATTTTTTTACAGCCAAAACAAAGAACAAAAGTAAACGCGGAAGATGTAAAACTGGACACACTCGTGAATAAATACAAGAATACATTGAAATCGATAGAATTAAGGAAGTCAAAGTGGTATGAATCGTAATGCAAAATCATTTTGATTCATCCATCTTAATAACAATGTATAAATACAATAAAAATATTAACAAATTTAATGTTTTTAATATTATGTTTACCTTGTATTTTATTTACTTTAAGATACTAAAATGAACCGTTTCACTTTCACATTTAAAAAAGACATTGAAAATTAAAATCAATTTTTGATTTACCATAATCTGTCATATACAACATGCAAAAGTATTCCCAATAAATAGTAGAATAATAAAAAACATTATGATAAATAAGGAGTTCGATTAAATTCGTCTACTATCCCCCTTCTTGCCTTGTATCCCTCCTTCCGGCGATCTGTGTCGAAACGACTAACACGATTAAAAGGCATGTAATAGTTGGCGGGAACTCTTGAAGAATAAAAGGAAATCTTGTACTCTTGTTCTTCTCATTCAAAAGTTATTCGTCGCGTACAGCGTGTTTATAGTCAACATGTATATAATCTCTTAACAATCAATTTTAATAAGATGTAATGTTGATAATTGAAATAAGTAATCATTTATTTGAGTTAATCTTCTTCTACTTTGGTACAAGTGATTGTGGTAATACGTGATTCCTTTGTGTAAGGTTTTAAGTGCGAATGCAGTAGATTCAAAATATTGTTACAGATTGTAATCGTATCACATCGAATTTGATACAATTAAGATTTTACTTCTACTTAAGTACTTAAGTATTTACCAAATTAGGTAAGTTTTGTGCAAGTTATATTTTCTTTACATAACTAACTTAAATATTATTTAAACTTTTCAGATAATTTCCTCAAAATGGAGTCCTTCAAACACAGACATTTAATATTTTCTGGTGCACTTATTAATCAAATATGAACAAAGTTGAATAACTGTTAGAATAAGTAGAAAATTAAAAGAACAGATTCATTTTATTATACTTTGTTAGCATTTTGTTTAACTTTTAAAGAGAGATATTTAAAAATAAAAGTTAGTAAAACGAAATATTTCTCAAACACTTTTTTATACTATAAGAAAATGAATATCTTGCATTACGAATTTATTAATTTGCGGAGGCACATCGTTAAGCAATCGAGTAACATCGTAAGAATGTTAGAAACTTTGGCAACGGAAGTCGAAGGGCAAGATTGGTCACATTGTCGTCCTTATTCCGAAATTCCAGGACCAAGACCCATTCCATTTTTTGGCAACACATGGCGATTTATACCTTTCATAGGTATTATCAATCATTTAAAAATCATATTACTTTTGCCACGATCGAATACAATCATAAAGGGATGCTTCGAAATGCGGAAGAGCTTTTTATACTAATGTAACGCTGCACAAAGGAATCAGAGATATAAAAATGATTTATTACAGGTGACTTTAAAATTCAGGCAGTGGATCAAGTGTCGAAGAGGTTGTACGAAGAATACGGGGATATCGTCAAAATCGAGGGCTTATTAGGCAGACCGGATATGGTTTTCATTTACGACGCAAATGAAATCGAGCGAATCTTTAGGCAGGAAGAAAAAATGCCTTACAGGCCTTCTATGCCTTCGTTAAATTATTATAAGCATGTACTTAAAAAAGAATTCTTTAACGAAAATGCCGGTGTAATAGCTGTGTAAGTTTTACATAGATAATTTAAATTTAATATTAATTAACACAAGCGTGACAGGTATAGTTCGGCATATCATTGGATATGTATAGGGAAATGTTAGTAGAATAATGGAATGAAGAAATAGTGGAAGAATGAAATAGTACAATAGCCCGTAATTTGCATGTTCAACGCAATTCACTTAACAGAAAAGAAAAGGGAACATTGACACGAATGAAAATTATACGCTTACTATCGTATCACCGAATTAGAAGCTTTCACTGTTATTGCTATAGCATGTTCCTTCGGTCTTCGATGTTTGAAACCAAGCAAAGCATGTGACATGTTTGCTTTCACACATGAATCATCATCGTGCAGCTTCACCGTGTTTGCAGACTTCATTACATTCATAATGGTCAAATATTTGAATTACAAGTCTTTTAGCAGCGTTGCTTAACTCCTCATTAAACAAATCACGAGAAGCGCAAATATTTGCCGTGCCAGCTGAAGCTGTACTCTTCTTGAACGCGTTAGAGCTACACTACTTTCCCCTTCTGTACGCTCTTCAATGCACGATATGTTTGTACTATTATTAGAAGAATAATACGCATCAACTGTTTGTAAGCACTATGAAATATTTATTTGTTAAAAAGCTTGGAAATAGGTCTGTACTTTCTAAAATGTTTTTCAAATTAATTGCATGCAATTGTATCTGAACGTAACACGAATAATAAAATCATCCGTGTCGCAAGGAGGAGAAAGGGTATAAGTTTGGTAAAGAATTTTGTCTAAACGAGGGTGGAACCATTGATATCCGTGTCGTGTCACATCATGTTACCGTTTAGAAAGCAAACCTTGCGTAATCAGATATGGGTGCACGTTGCGGCATTACTTCCTGCATGACAACTTTGACTGCAATTGCATTCGGGCGACATACTTATCTATTATTGCTGTAACCAAAATGCTAATCAGCATAATTTAAACTTCCGCTCATCATTCAAACTTTCCGTTTCCGAGGGAAAGCAAAGGGAAATTGTGTTAGTTGTACCAACTAAAGTTGCAACTATATTTTACCACTGTTTTATTCTTCAAATTATTCTTCAAGAAAAGTAATTCTGATAACGTCCTCTTAGAAGTTGTTTTAGTAAACTCGATAAACGAACACTACTGAAAGAAACGATTGCAGGCATGGCGAAAGTTGGTACAATTTCCGCAGTAAAGTGCAAAAGGTAATGTTACAACCGCAAACTGCAAGAATGTACATTAACTCTATCGAGGAAGCGAGTACCGCGTTCCTTAGAAGGTACATACACGTAAAATGATCTTCTTTTAAACGTTACATATGTATCTTACCTTTCACTAGTTTACATTGTCCTTATTTTTTCCGATGCCTACCGTGTTACGTTTCTCAAGCGATCGTGTTTGCCTCTAGAATTAGAAAAATACGGGACGAGAATGACGAAGTACCGGACGATTTTCTCAACGAGGTTCACAAATGGTCTTTGGAATGTAAGTCTTATGTAATACCTGTTTTGTTAAACAAAAGATTTTCTTTTTACCCAATTTATTAATTTTGCTATATTTATTGATACCTACCGATGATATAATAAAATAAGAAAGAAGTTAAAATTTCATTTTGTCTACTGCAGTGTTTAATTCTTTAACTAAGGCAACAGCTAGTTCTAGTACCAAGTACTTTTTGCACTATTCACTGACTCTTTACTCTCGTTCGTAAGTGAAAGTCGTCCTAAATTCGAATCTGTAGAAGGTATTCGATTTCTTTTTCAATTACTGTTCTACGAATGATACAGATAACGGTATTCTTAATAATTGGGTTGCATTGAGCCCCCGCACACTGTGACTCACAAGTGCAGTATTCCAAACGGCACTACTTACAATGCGATACAGTAACATTATTCATTATTATATAGTTGCAATGTTACTGCTATTAATTATACATTCAAATTACCTTAAGATACAAATAATATGTTAAAGAAACGATCATCAATTTTCTTTTATAGCAATCGCAAGCATAGCCTTGGACGTTCGACTGGGATGCTTGGATGACGACGCTAATGTCGAAACCCAGCAATTAATAGATGCTGTTACTACATTTTTCAAGAATGTAGGCGTATTGGAATTAAAGATACCTTTCTGGAAATTATTCAGTACACCTACATGGAAAAAATACGTGAATGCTCTGGATACTATCGTCAGGTGAAATAATAGTTAATCTAATTAAATCGGTAATAAATACGAAAATTATTCTAAATATCATTTTAGGATAACATCAATGTACACGGCAGCCGCTCTTTCAAGGATACAAACGACGAAAGACTCTGGCAAGGAAGCATCGCTCTTGGAAAGAATTTTAGCCTTAGAAAATGATACCAAATTAGCCACCGTACTTTCTCTTGATTTATTTTTAGTCGGGATTGATACTGTAAGTATGCCGTGACTTATAATCTAACGAAAGAGAAATACAATTTACACTGCAGCCTGGTTGTTAACTTCCTTTTTATGTGATCCGTTAAGCGAGTTCTCCTTTCACAAATCCTAGACTTGCTCTTTCACGCGATACAAGAACAGCGGTTAAATTGCTACGGCACCTTTTACGTAGTTAGGCAGCGATTCTCTATTGTAACATAACGTTAAATTCTACGAATAAATCAAGTTTACTTTATTCGTAGACATCCAGTGCAGTGGCATCGACACTATATCAGCTAGCTCTGCATCCTGACAAGCAAAGCCTTGCTTACAATGAAGTATGTAAAGTTCTTCCAAAGAAAGGCGAGAGGCTCGAAGGAAAGCACTTGGATCAGTTGAAATATTTGAAGGCTTGCATTAAAGAAACTTTAAGGTTTGACCGTTAATCCCTTAAATTCTCTTAATCTCCTCGGTAATCCTTAATCCTTCGGTTGATTTACTCAGTTTGAGTGAGGTAAAGGTATTAGAAACCGTAAATTCTTCACACTATAATGTTTAGATGTACAGTTAAAACAACTTTCGTTTAGAAAATGTTAATACATATTTTTATTAGGATGTATCCGGTAGTTATTGGCAATGGACGTTGCATGACCAAAGACACAGTAATCAGAGGCTATCGTGTTCCTAAAGGCGTAAGACAATACTTCTCCTTTTTACACAGTTAAGAATAATTTACTCTAGATTATTGCAATGTATAAACATTTGCTGTTTGTTGGTTTAGGTACAAGTTGTATTCCAGCATTACGTGATATGTAATCTTGATAAGTACTTTCCCCGAAGCAAGGAATTCGTTCCAGAAAGATGGTTGCACAGTGACGGGGTACGTCATAGTTTTGCATCGCTTCCTTTCGGCTACGGGAGAAGAATGTGTCTTGGTCGTCGTTTTGCTGAGCTTGAAATGCTCATCGTTATTAGCAAGGTAAAAATAATCTACAGTCACGCATTGTTATATTCCGCTATATAATTAATTTTAATTATGTAGCTCTGTGGAGATTATTTAAAAAAAAAACAAGTTTTAGAGCAATATATCAGTTGTACACATTTGTCACTTTCCTGAAGGAACTAACTACAGTTGTGAACAATTGTGTGTAATTGATAATAACCTGAGGAAAGAGCTATTCTTGTCTGTGTAGTTTTATTGTGACATTGATCTTAACTACGATGCTCGTTAGTTTGTCAGCGGTTACAGTAAATGCTCACAAACAATGACCTTCCTGAACACCTGAATCTTTTCTCCTTATAACAGTATACTCCTTTATGGTGCCATTAATCTGTCACCTTAATGTTGTAAGACTCTTTTTGTTATCTGTATATCAAGGAACTCCAGGGTACACTTCCAACTTCTTCTTATCTCTTTTCTATCAACTTTGCAATTGCAATTTAATAAAAATATATTGAATGACATAAACTATCAGAGTATCAAATAATGAAAATGCTACTTTCACGTAAAAGTAAGAATACAAAACAAAAGCGCAATCGAATATAGTATCTAGGTGATTTCACTCGCAATTACTTTTTACCTGGAAAGAAAGGAAAGCGATAATAAAAGTGTACCGCTTCTTCGAGCGGAACGTCTCACCGTGTCTCGTCGCGCTAGGTCCTTTGAATACAGTTTTATGATTTCGATGTTCCTTCGCATTTTTATTACACTTTCCTTCGTCGACATTTAAGATCTTTCTAATCTGAAGGGTCCTAAATACGGACTTTCCTAAACTACCTGTGATTTTACAGCGAAAAGAATAAAGTATCCTAAACTTGTAAAATTTCCCTGAGTAAGCAATATAATTGTAATACATCTAAATATTTATGGAATAGATAAGTAACATATACCGAACCTACGGCAATTTTTATTTTATAGAAACTTTTATTAAAAGGACAAACATAAATTTTGTTTAATATCAATTTTTTATTTTAGATTTTGCAATACTACAAGATAGAATATCATCACGAGAAACTAGAGTATTATATCAATCCTATGTACACGCCGAAAGGACCACTGAACTTGAAATTCATCGACAGATAGTAGCATCTTCCACGGTTGTATGTACAAAACTGAAAGGGTAAACTTGTAGTCAGTATTAATATACAAGGTTTTTTGAGCATTTTCAATTATCACAAAGCTTCTCGCATATTGGGTGTTATCTCGGTAGTAGTTTAAATTTGAGTTCGCCATCAGGAGCGTACATAAATGTGACTTTGTACTGCAGCGGCTTATGATGGTACTCCAATTTATATGATCGTATGAGCTGAAAACGAACAGTAGAGAAATATTTTATATATTGTAAGCATTGCATTTTTTGCATACCTTAGCAAGTAAGACTTGCATTTCTAAATCGGCGAATCTTCTACCTAAACACATGCGTGCCCCATGACCGTAAGGTAACGATGCAAAAGGATGTAGCTTCTCATTGGAAGATTGCTTTAACCATCTTGCTGGCTTAAATGTTTTTGCATCTGTTACATATTCTTCCATGTTTCCTGTTATCACCGTTGGGAACACTACTTGTACCTGTAATATATAATTATATTTATTTTTATATTTGACAAAGATATAATACATTTGTTGGATGTCATGTAAATTAAAGAGAAATTATGGGGTCAGTAAATTAAAATTGTATCAAAAAGAAACATAACGTTTAAGACATTGTTTCATTCAATGTTTATCGTTAACCGAGTATTTTAAAATTTTGTACAAAAGAATTAAAGAAATAAATTATTATTATAGATAATAATAGCCTCAATGCTCTGAGACTGTATAGTACTTTTTATCATTTATGTTTTAATAATAGACAGTTAATGATATATTGCTTACACCCTTTGGTATTCTATAACCACAAATTATAGTATCGTTTTGCAATGTTCTTCCATTCCCAATCACTGTAGAATACACTCTGAAACAAATGATACTTGAATTAACGAACACTGAAAAGCATATTATGTTCGACTACAATTAGCTGCCATTCAGTAATGATTGCTTACATATAGGTATAATCAACTATACCTGAAAACTTCCCTGATAAAAGCTTTTGTATAGACTGCTTTGTCCAGATGGCTGGTAGTTAGAGGAACAGATGGATCAGGAAGAATCTCTACCAGTTCTTGATAAATCTTTTCCTGCTCCTCCGGTCTGGTTGCCAATTGATACAATATAGAACAAACCGCCATTGAAATCTGAAAAATATCAAATTAAATCTGTGACATGTTCTTCAAATATATTTCTTTCAATCTAACAACTAATGAAATAAAAATTCATTTTTACGTACCGTGTCTATTCCAACTAAAATCAAGTCTAATGCAAGTATATAAGCCATTTTGGGATCAGTTTCTTTAGCTAAGATTCTTTCTATTAAAGACAGATCAGTTTCGTCCACAGATTTCTTAGTTTTCAATCTTTCTACTGCTGCGTCAATGTATTTCATGCACACTCTGAAGAATATATATTGTTATTACTATCGTATTATTATTCAATCTTTTTTAAATAGAAAATATTTTAAAAATCGACTCACTCGAGGAAATAATTCATATTGCGTACATATCTTGACCAGAGAGGAGTTGGTATATATCTCCAATATGGAGCTTTTAATTCAAGCACAGCTACATTCCTCAAGGCAAACTTTGCCCCATCGATGATCTTCTGAGGTTCTGAATCTGGAGTCAAGTTACCTCCTAGGCATCCTAATCTTACATCAAGGGCAACTCTACCTATACCTGTGCAATCATTCAAATGATCATTTTTTAATATGCGATTGAAGCTTAAACAAAGAATACTTGCAGGTAATATACTAACATTCTAAAGCCCATTTATGTATTTCATTGTCAAAATCTTTTGGCAATTCTCCATCCTCTCCTTTGATTTCCTCCATTCTGAAACGATATTATTTATATATTAAACAACAAAAAGATAAGCACACGCAGAGAAATTCATTGGCCATCTAAAAGTTAGACCTACATTTTTCTGTTTCATCTTAAAATAGACTTGTTTGATAATCGATACCGATGACTACATCTTCAAGGTTCTATGTTCTATGATTGTATTCAGATTCGACTAAAGTTCAAGACGCTACGTAACCGGTGCAAATATCCTCAAGTCCCAAGGACAAATGTAATTACCTCTTTATGAAGTCAGACGTGACCACTTCAATTGGCGTTATATACTTTCTTACGGTTTGTGGCTGAAGAACTGGTTTTTGGACCCGTGTACGAAATTCACGCCACGGTTCTCCGTGCCTGAAAAAATGCAAATATTTCGTTACCTTCATTGATGATTCAGAGCCAATCTGCGAATATATAATTGGATTTAAAGGTCGAAAATGCTCAGGAGTGACGATATCCTCCCAGTTTAGTCGAATGGACTGAATAGTTTTTATAGAATTCAGACCTAGCAAAGTTTAAAGTTTACATTTTCGTTGATGATGTATGATATTAACACGTGAAATGTTAATATATTCGAATCGATGACGCAACATATGCGCTCTGTAAGAAATTTAATATTCCCAGTCCACACCTAACTGCTTTATTGCTTTAATAGCACTCAGTTAGGGCATATATTAATTTTACAATTTTCCAGGTTTATACGTACACTCCAACGACCCCAGGTAAATCGCCGAAGAAATCCTTCCTAACGACGCTTTTGTAATGAACCAAACACGGCATTGACGGTCTAAAAGGTGTAGGTCCTTCCTGTCTATAGATTTTTTCTATCTCATCAGCATCGTAGACAAACAACAAATCTGGTCTACCTATCAATCCAGTCAAACGGACGATTTTCCCATATTCATCGTAGAATATCTGCGAAACTTTGGCCATGTCCGAAATTTGATACTGTCCTATCACCGGGAACAAACGCCACGTGTTTCCAAGAAATGGAATAGGTCTCGGTCCCGGGATTTCTTCGTAAGGACGGGCTTGGATTGTAACATCGTGATCCAACGTGCAATCTCTGGTAGCAGAGGTCACTGTACCTGCAGGTAACACAATAGAAAACGTACGTAGGACGCATGTTGAATTTGTAATAAAAGTAAATGGGCGCAACGGGTGACTCTCGAATGAGTTCCTCCGCGTAGAAGACAAATAGCAAACATATTTGCAGCTTTCAATCGTAGAATAGTGTTCGAGATTAAGATTACTGATCTATTTAAGCGAGCAATCTTTATACTTTCTAAAGATCATATTCGTTCTTATATGAATATTTTATTATTTTTATAAAATAAGAGCTCAAAAACACTGAACGAGCACTAATTATGTTAATATATCGTAATATAATTGATATGTAAATAATGTACTTTCACTTTCTTTTAATTGTAGGCGGTTTCGTAACGTTGATGATTTAAGTTCATAAAATTATAGAAAGGATTGGTTTTAATTGTAAAACGATGCTTGTTACAGAATTCACGTTTTGGGACACCGTTACATATTAATTACTTATTAACTTCTCATTACCTGAACACAAAGTACGTTGGAGAGTATCCTGACATTTCGAAAGTCGACGTATCAAGTTGAATTGTAGTTGGTAATTCATTCTATGGACAGTATAATCAGTTATTAAAATAATTAATTGATCAATGATTGATTTGTGTATTTTAACTGTCCACAGTTGGTGTAAACGTTTCGAGTTAGGCGTAACAGATCTACACTTTCCCTATAATGAGCGACGTCCTTACCTGGAATTCATTGAATACTTCCGGCCCGTTTCTTAGGGCTTTTCCAACGGATTTCCCGTTATTAAACAAAGTGGTCACCACAGGTAACACTTCCAAACCGAAATCGATCGCATTCTACCACGATTCTAATATTTCAAAACGATCGCCAACTTTCTTCTTTATCGCCTGCGACCGCGCGAGATTGGGAGAGGGAACAATGGTGAAAGAAACAGCCCGGATGCACCGTTTCAACCAGACTCTTCGTAAATCGAGACTGCACGAAGTAATCGAGGTGAACTCCCCACTTCGAAATCTCCCTCCATGGGTTACCTTTAGTATACATATGAAAGCACCACGTCTAGAAGAAAATTCATCGTGATAGTTGAGAGATGATACTTTCACACGTAATTAAAAAGAAATTTCTTTAATGTAAATATGATATATAAAATTCACCGATAGAGTATTAAGTCGACAATATGACAATTGTACGGTGAAATGGTATTCAGAAAAATAAATCTCATGCAATGTTTGAACAGTCATATTTAATTGGGGGTGTTTATTAAATTTTTCGAATATCGAATAAAGCAGGTGTAGCAGTCGTTGCAACGAACAGACATTTCTAATAAATACGAAGTCCCATGGAAATTGGAGGGATTTGGGGAAATTGTAAAGATAGCGGTACAACGAATGGTCGCTAAATTTACCTACCTCAAAATGACCCTCTATGTAGGATCAAATAAATTTTCTAGAAGCACCTACCTGTGTCGCTTAACGTTCAGGATTCTATTACAGACAAAATTAAAAGGCCTAAAATAAGTATGACAAAAAGTTAATGAATTGATTTCAAATCGATAGTCATTCATCTTAAGGAAACCTATTAATAGGCTTCCGGCGTATGACATGTTCACGATGTCTGTATACATTTCTATAACGTGTACATAAATACTCGTATGGTTATGCAATGTTTTGTTTAAAATGGGTCGCGTATAGGTGATAAGAACTAAAACCGGTTTCAAAACTCGCGCTTCATTAGTAATAATAGATAATTGCATAAATAAATAAAGCGAGCATATTACCCCAATTACCTAATTCAATACAAAACAAGGACGCTTTATTCTATGCAATGATGTCATGGAAAGTAAATCACACTTTTCTCTCCTATTCATCCTTCGATTCATTCTTTCGCTACGTTCGCGATTAAAAAATTGATAAAATATAAGATTTGAAAATATGTATTTGAAATATTCTATAATACGTGTACTATTCAAAATTGCTGAAGAACGATTGTAATCCCTTCGACGTCCCTCAATAAATCCAGGTAAAGTGTTTGAAAAACTGTTCAGCAATTGACCCGTACTGAACCTTTCTTCTAAGAAGTAATAAAATAATATACCTCGAGAACCGTCGAGAATCTCCCGAATCGTTTCATTTGTCGGTCGGCGGTAGGGGTTTCTACCCCATACTAAGACTATATTAGGAACTCCTCGAGGGTTGACACGGCATTTGTAATACAGATTTCACGAAAGTACTTGTTCCGAGCGATACCCTGCGCGAGTAAGAAACGCGAGTGATGATTTACTTGGCAAATAACATGAGTGTAACACGTGAACAACTCTGTTTATAAACACGTATTTGATCGAAAGTGTCCGTTTAAACGTCGACTCGTATAATCGAACGAGTGAATTTTATTTAATCGGTTTTATTCATTTTTGTTTTAACAATTATCGTACAAAATGGTTGTGTCGACAATGTGGATCAGAAATAATATGCTGTTTTCCCCTGAACAATGTGTAAGTATTCGTGAAATTGCTTTTTTTTTATTCTAAAATTGAACATTTATCGGTGATACAGTGAAGAATTGTTACGACTTTGGTTAATATCGATTAGGATAAAACTTTTTCGTTATACCCATTTTTCTGTTCTCATTTCGAAGTAATTATATAAGAATTTTTCTTGTCAAACATTCCTTACTATAAATATCTTCGAACTTTGGAGTTCTTAAAAATGAAAATAATCCGTTTGAATGGCAATATGTGAATAGCGAAAATTTGTACTCGTGTTACAATGAATATTGATTTGAATGTGTATTGAACAGGGAAGACAACTTACGGATGCGGAATTGAAAGTCCAACGTTCTCTCCAGAAACTTTCTGTTCCGGATTGGTACTTGAACAGACGTTCGAATTCGCCAAAAATAGTGAACGATTCTCCGATAGAAATTCGTCCACCGTCCTGGAGATGTCCTACACCGAAAAAATCTACCAATAATTCTTCTTATTTATCAGGTACTTGTTACGACAATATATATTTAATATTTTACTAAATAACAAACACAATACAACATATTGTTAAATAATTTCTTAGTATCAATAAGTGAATTCTAATTCAATCTTTTATTTCAGGTATATATGTAACCTCAGAAACTCCCAAGAATAAAAACAAATCAACGAACAACAATGCATCGCGTCAAGAAAAATCTCCAGAATTGAAACATGAAAAATCTTCATGTACAAAAGAAGAAATATTTGACACCTGGATTCCGGAAGTGCACCTACCAACGAATGTTAGTAAGACGTTTCCAAAGGTTTCACCATCGAGGAAAATCAAGAATATAAATTTGGTTTTGCCTCCTGGACCGAATTTGGAGGACGAAATAATTTCAAGTAATTGCGATATTTTTCGTTCACAAGTGCAGTCTTCTTCAAAGGACAGCACATCTCATCAGAAGAAAAGCAACGTTAAGGAAATTGTTCCAACGTCTGTTAAGACTCCGATCGTGAACGGAGGTTACAGATTCCGAACCAATTCTTCTCCCAAATTCTCTCCGGCACAAATATTCTCGTCCACTGTCATCGAGGATGATAACCCGAAACCGAAGAAGAAGGTCTCTCCAAATATTCGAGAAAAGTCGTCTATTTTCGAAAGCAGGAATCCTTCAGAATCTTCTATTGAAATTTGTCAAACTTCTAAAGATTTTTCTCAGAATCCTCTAGAGAAAACGTTCATCCTCGACGGTTCAAGAGCAGATCAATCTTCCAGAAATTACGAAAGTTCATCGATGGGCATCGCCAAAGATAGCTGCATATTCGAGAAAAACATATACTCGATTGAACCCATTGTCTTCGAGAAAGACGACACGGCACTATCTATGTCAAAGTCCTCCTCCATGGTTCGTGAGATGGTGAAGAAACTAGAGATGTCTAACAACTCCTTTGAGACGCCTCATAAAATATCAACATTGACCTGGAAGAAACAAACATCTAAGAAGTCCAACTATGAACTAAAACTGCCAAGCATGTTCTACCAGAAGAGGTTCGATCTGGCCCCTAAAAGTCCGATTCATCTTCTTCGAGAAGAGAAGCCGAGCACAAACACCCAATCACCGTGCACCAGATTCCTCAACTCCGTCAGGAAATCCACGGACCTGGAGAACGTGGTGAGGAGTAAACAAACGACCAAAGAGAAGGGTGTCGTTCGAGGCATCATCGAGACCCTGGCCGAGAAGGTGAACCAGTCGACCTTACCCCGGCAGAAGCAAGCGACCAAAGTTAACCAAAACTTTGTGAGGAAGGTGGTAACCGCCTTAGAAAACGTAGACAGATCAAGAACCGGAACAGCGTCCCACAACAGAAGGATCTCCTTAAACGAGGACACAGGAAGCGGCAGTGAATCAGAGTTCAAGTCTTATACGACGTCAAATTCTGCCAAAGATACTGACAGCGACTCTGATCAAAGGACACCCAGTCTGAAGAGCGACGACGATGGCAAATTCACTTTTGCTGGTCTAGCAACAACGAACGTTTATCAGGAGGACGATTCCGTCTACTGGATACCAGTATCCAAGTGCAAGCTTCCAAGGACCAGCTCTTTGTTGAGCATGATGTCCAAGTTGTCTGAAAATGGACATTCCCCTTGTCTCAGCCCCATAAGAGCGGACAGCGAGTTGGAGTACCAACACCAGCCAATGTGGGACCTTGTCTACACAAGAACCAAATTATCCAGGAAGTTGTTCAGGATCGACGAAACTGTGGTAATTGATTCTGGCTACTCTGACAAGTCGGATAGGTCTGGAATTAGTTCCAGATACTGTATGGAGGATAGTAGTGTTGGACCTTAGTGTTGGATTTTTTAGCATTAGTATCAGGAGTCTCTGATCTCCTGTTTCTTAACCGTATTCTCGCAGAATGTCTTACGTTAGGATTAGTTCTCTCACTTATTGAATTTGTAATTTAATTTAACAATCTTGTACAACTGCAACAGAGTATCATTATTGTAGGGAAGTAGAATGACTAGCTTTTTCATGTTTGAGGAAAGAAATAATCAATTTTGAATGATCAATGCAAGTTAGGAAACTGATAGCATAAATCAGTAGTTCCTTTTGTTTAATTAAGTTTTGGAGGTATAAGGAAAATGTAGGACCATTTTTCGAAAGATTTTGTAAATTATTTTGTGGATAATTTGAACTTCGATTAAGAAATATTTAAAAGATAGTATATATTTATGTAAATCTTTGTTTCGATGCTTGAATGGATAATTTTTTCAAGAGCAATGTTTACTTTCGAGTATTTTTTAATATCCCATAAATTCAAGCTCGAAGAAAGACGATCAATAATCAATACCTTTCGAGTCAATTATTCATAAGTGATTTCGAAATTCGTTATTAAATCGTAGTTATTAATTAAGGTACAAATATAGTTTCGTTAACTCATATCTGTATATACCATTTGTATCGAACTGTACTTCCTTTATAAATCTTATAATATTCATATTGTATACAAGCGTGCGTGACTGTGTGAGAATGTTATTTTATACATGTTCAATGAAACATGTTATTATTCGCCAGATGTACAATCGATTCAAGTTTTAGATGAAAAAGATCTATAACTCGTAATTCGGGCAAGTGCTTAAAATTTGGAAACATGGCATCTGGCTGCTATTTAGAGATAAATAGTTTCAAGCAGAGAAGCTGAAATTCCTAAATGAAAATATTGTTATAATTTGATTAGCTTGCTGATCTTGCGATTTTCATGCATTAGAGCGCCAATCAAAAATTCTGTATATGAAAGTTTCAAACCGTGAGAGATGAGTGCTATAAAATGAATTTTAACGTTGACTTATTTACCTTGCAGTAGATAAAAGAATACAAGAGAAGAGAATGTTTTATACTGTTTAATTGAAAAATTTGGTCTTACCAGGATCAAATTCCTACAATAAAGTCTTAAGAAATATTCCAATGTTTTATTTTATTAATGAATTAAACTTGTTTCTTCTTTAAATAATTGTAATGATATTGTTCAATAAATAAACTGGGACACCAAGAATGGATTTCCAATTTCTGTTTTATTTACAAAAATTGTCAAAGATACTTTTACAATGATTTTATCATAGTGCTATGATCGAAGTGCTTTTGCGTGAGAAATTCGTGTGTCGAATTATCAATTAACAATTAAAATTCTATACGATTAACTATTTTTTATGTAACTCGCGTATGATGACACACGGGACTTCCATGAATAAATAATCCAAAAATATTCAGCTTTGTTCTTTGTCCGTATCACAGAATTCTCCGGAGAAAATTGTGGGAAGAAAACACATTAGCCATTGATTTTTGACTAGTAAATATTCAAATTGACAAACGCACGTTTAGATAGTTTCTTGTTGGAATTTTGGTAATTTCGAGATGTGATCATTTTCAAGTTTTAAATGAAGTATACATTCTGAGTCGACCTCTGCTTGTATTTACCATCTGATAGAACAACAAGCTATACTTGTACCAAATTAGTACTTTCATCGTTACGGTTTCAATCGTCAACGTAAACGCGTGAAATCTATGGTTACAGAAACTCGAGAATCTATAAAAATATAAAAATTCAATAGTGTGCGCTTGTTGGTTTTCATTTGAAAGTAAAAATGGCGTTAGGATTAGCAAATGGACGTTCCAAGTCCGCAACAGACATTCTAGACGGTATAACAACGCATAATAAGGATAAATTTCAACAAAACTACACGGAAAATCGTTATAGAACGTACACGCTGAAAGGCTTTGAAGAAGAAAAACTACGTTTCGCGGAAAAAGAACCATGTACACCGAAATCGACACAGAACTTCGTGAAGAAAATAATAGCTTCTTTGGAAAAGAGAAACGAGGCCTGCAAAGCGGATGATGAATTTTTCGCTAAATATTACAAAAGAAACGATTGTTCCAACACAAACATGTATCAAGAAAATTTAAAGACTCAAAATGCGATTTATGTTCTATCAAAGAGTGAAGCTGATAATAATTGCGCAAACAAAACAGTATTGTGTAGTTTAAACAAAAAAAAGAACGCATATAAAGTAAACGATCAAAAGATGTATCATGATCGATATCACACTTTTCAATCGATATGCGAATCTAATGCAAGAAAAGAATTTGATAATAGTGGAAAAGACGAAGATTATATTCATAAATACGGTTTTTCTTCTTACGATCGAAATCGATATCGAGTTCATTTGCAGAGTCAGATGGAAAATGTGAAACCATGCTCATCCAAAAAAAGCACAGATAATGATAACAGAAGTACTTTAGAAAGAATATTTTTAAAATCAAAGAAAAAAGAAGATACAGGAAGAGAAACAAAATTTATTCGAACTCCATCTTTCAAAGATTTTTTCGGGAATATGATGAAATGGCGAAAATCAGGAAACAAGAAGAAACCTAAACGTTTTATGTCCTGCGATCATTTAATCGAACAATCCAAAAATGGATCAACGTTGTCGACGAGTACTTCTTTACAAGCTACTGTACTTAGGGATTGCGATGAAAAAAGTATTTTACGGGTAAATAATTTTATCGCTTCTTTTAATTCATAATGATTGTTTGCATTTTTAATAATTCAATAATATGCGTAGAATAAGGAACGTAGGGCGACAATTCATCCAATTTATGGTTGTAGAAGAAACGAACAACTTTTAGAAATATTATCCAATAAAAACGGAGACCTGAAATTCTTTGCAACGGATGAGGATACAGAACATCTTGTGAAACCTTCTGCGGTTAAAAATATAGCAAAATGTTTCGCTCAACTTCCGGATAAATAAGCAATAAACAATTAGCTTAATTAATATACAAAAAAACATAATTGACAAAATTATATTTGTTTGTAAAGTATGAAAAATATTTTTTTATGTAGTTACATAGAAAAAGATATAACCTTTAAGTTATCATGTTTTATCATTCAACTTTGACTATGTATTAATAAAGTTAATTACCAAAAATAAATATAAAATATTTTTATATTCTCATAATTTAAATATTCCGCGAAAGAGAATGAAAACTATTGCCCATTCGTATCGACATCCTACCACTAGATGGCCAAAGCCATCTGAAAAATATTTTCAGCTTTATGTCAGTTTACATTTGTATCATTATTCGGGCTATCGAATAACTATAATATTTTTGTTCATTTTGCACATATTGTACAATAAACAATCTTTTATTTGATATGCCTTTTATATTATTATGTTTCTCCTTCATTCGTATACTTTGCTCATTATGAATATGGCAGATAAGGTAGAAAACTAATCATGGTAGGGTAGATACGTGGTAGGAGCGAAGTTCTCCCTGGGATTTTTTTAAATTCCCTCTAAATTTTTGCTAGATTTACTGTAGATATACTTATCTTGGTTTTTCTTAAAAAATGAATGTAGTATACATGAAATTTATTATTGCTTGAAGCATGTATTTATTTTAGTTCATACGTCTCTCTATGTCAAAACATTTGATGCTTCAACAAATATAGGTATAAGTGTGTGTATGGAATTGTATGGAATGAGGTTCTTCGTACATAGTTATATGTCAAAATTTTCTAGTTTTTCGCAAGAAATTATTACAAAAACGTAATAATTTCCATTGTTCTTGAGTTACGCATAAGAGTTTGACAGACTATGCAGGAATTTCCGTGTGTTTTATCGGAATATGAAGAAATCAATCCTCTTCTTTATAAGCCTATCACTTCGACTCAACGAATCAAGGTATTTCTTCGAACCGTTGATTTATTTATGATTTATATTATTATAACTCTATTGATCGAGTTTTTATACTGTTTACATATGCGTTATACACTTCTCGATTTAATTCATTAGACGATAAGTACCTGTAACTCATGTTACATCGAATACAATTGGAACGTATCGAATGTTTTGAATTTGACAGTTTAATGAGTTCCAAATAATTTAGGCTGTGTATGCCTAATAAATTTGATTGCGAATAAAAAATAAAAGTATAAACTTTTCAGTGTAAATGTTATTAATCTTTCTTTTTATCTTATAGTATACGTGTTTCAATGTATCTCTGAATTATATTATATTGGGTTCAACCAGTGGCAGTATTTATCTATTCTCCAGGAAACCATGCACATTTGTACAATTGATACCCTTATCGGTACATACAATTTTCGTAATTTACTACAGTAAGAAATTAACTAATTTAAATTACTTTAGTATCACAGTTATTATAAAAAATAGTTCATGAAAAAAATTTCAATATTAGGAAGGACCAGTTTCTCATGTTCTCATATCACCTGATGAAAAAAAAATTGCTTTGTCAACAACTCGTGGAACAGTTTGTTTGGTAGCTATAAAACCAACTCCAAAATTATTAGCCATATCAACAGAATATATTAATGAACAAATTAACTGCCTTTGTTGGAATGATAATAGTTCAGAAGTATATATCGCAGATGGCAATGGAAAAATTTCTGTTCTGGTGATGTCCATTTTTACGGTAAGATTGCATTTCTCATATTTGCAATTGTATACATGTTTATGAAAATATGAAATACATGTACAATAATGTATTTTTGCTGAAGAAAGAAATGGGTATATTCCAGGTTAATGGAATGTTTCAAGCACCAGCCTGTACATTAATGAACCTTGATTCTGCTGTTGTACAGCTCAATTTTTGTTCACCATTACTGTTAGTGTCGACACTGACACGTTGTTACATATGTGATACAGTGCAAGAACAATACAAGCAAATAGGAAATAAAACACGGAATGGGGAATTTGGTGCTTGTTTTTATAAAACAAATAAAAGTACCGTGGTTACCCCAAAGGAAGAAAAATTAGTCAGTAGGAAAGGTTCCTTCAATTTTATTTCAGAAAGTAACAATAGCCTAGAAGAAGCAAATTATCCTCAAATTTTTTGTGCGCGACCAAGTTCTAGACTTTGGGAAGTATCTGCAAATGGCACTGTTATGAAAACTCATCAATTTAAGGAAGCCTTAGCTATTCCACCTACAACAATATGCAGATCAAATATGAGAAAATCCATTTACCAAAAACCAATGGAACAAGCTTGGCTGCCACAGTCTATTAATTTTTCTCACTTATTTACCATTGCAGAAAAGTATTTATTTTCATTCACTTCTACTGGTATATATGTACTTGATCCTATAACTGCAACTGTATTATTATGGAACAATGAATTTTCAAACATACATGCTGCAGAAACAATAGAAAATGAAATATATTTGATGACTTCAGATGGAAACTTTCATTGTTTAATTCTATCTGTCTTAGATTCCTTAATATTATGGTTGTACAATAGAAAAAAGTATCATGAGTGTATTGAGATCTGCCTTGTATATAAAATGCAATTAAAAAAGTTAATAAATAGCACAGAGATTAATGCTATATGTGATATGGAGAACAAACTACAGATACTTAGAGACGATGAGTTATCAACGTTATTGCATCCTTTAATTCATTTGCTAGAATCTAATTCCAAAATAACTCCAAAGAAATTAGATTCAGGTATTGTTGTTGTTAATAGTGGAAACTCAAACTTGAAAGAGGAAGAAAAGTTTAATTCTGTACCTTACCGTCTTTCACAAAATAATGAAAATTCCCGTGAAATTGGATTGTTAGCAGGAAATGAAACGTTAACTAATTTATCGAAAAATTCTGTTGACGAATTGGCAGAAGCTAAAGATGCAAATTGCAATACAGCTAAAGTACAAGAAGATAACAATGAGGAAACATTAAAATTTGATGAACAATTATCTGTGAATAAAACTGTAACGCATAGAATACAAGCAGATTTAGAAATTATTTACGCGTTAATCGATGATATTAAACCTTCTATGGATGAAGAACAGATAGAAAAAATAATTTTAGATGTAGATTGGAAAATGAATGTTCTCAAAGATTCATATGAAATTTTTACTGAAGTAAAAGGTTTTGTGTACGAAATATTAAGAAGTGTCGAATTATATTATTTCAATGCTTTGTTAGAAAACATTTCAGTACAACTAATAGAGTCAAGTGATAACGAAACTATTATAAAACAAGTAATGAAAGCTTTCGTTAATATAAATGCGCAAAACTATAAAATGTGTACCTGTGGTAGTCCATGTCCGACAGATGAATTAGTAGACCCAAAGTTCCTGGAAATCGGTAGATACCTTCTTAAAAAAACTATAGACGAAAGTAAAGAACAATGTATAATTTTATGTAACAAAGTACCTTATATGTGGCGAGAATATTTGTCAGTCTACGTGAATCGGCATGACGTATTAACGAATGATTTACTACGTCAGTGCCTTCAAATTAGGGATAGTAATTTGCTTTCCACTCTCTTAGTGTTGTTAGATGAAAAGCACTGGTGTCTCATACCAAGGTATGTGAAGGAAATGCAGGAGGGGCTATGTTTATTCTGTGGTAAATCTATAAAAAAAGGTAGTAATGAAGTATCAATAAACTGGACTACTGTGGTATATGATATTATGAAGAAACAGGGACCTGATATTGCTATAATGATAGTAACAAAGTTGGTACAAGCTATCCCAAATATTTCTGTCGATAAAAGGTAAATATTATTATTCTAAATGTTGAGTTTGTTATGAAATAATAATCATGAAATTGTCTCATTTGTTTCAGTATATTTCAGTCGCTGATATTTACAAAAATCTTGTACCAGCATGGAATGAAACATGCTATTAATTTTAACAAGGAATCATCTGAATACAATACAATATGTTCCACAAAGGTAACCGATATCTGTAGTCATTGTTAATTCAAAAACTTAGTAACATATATATTACAGATACGAAATCAATTAGTAGAAGTTCTTGAAAAAGATTTAAGTCGACCAGTCAATAAGAATATATTTGGAAATGGTGCTCATCATTGGGGAATGCATTATCAAAGCAAATTACGTACATGTCCTTGCTGCACCTTATCTCTTCGAACGCAGGTTCTACTAGGTAACAATGGAATTGTAATATTTGATTGCGGTCACGCGTATCATGTTAACTGTGTGATAGAAAAAAAACTTACATCCTGTAATTTGCATTCCTAAGTGCACATGCGCCAGAAACAATAAACCTAGAGAAAAATATTAAACGTACAGACGCTGCTTTAGTGTATATTTAAAGAGGAATTGCTCGTTCTTCATCTAGTCTTTATAAATTGCTCGTATATCTATATGTAAATGTACATGTAAATTTATTGTCTTCGTACAAATGGTTTTATCACAAATTTCACGATTTAACAATGCAATTGAAGAGATCTTAAGAAGTAAATATTTATACTTTTAGTCTTTCGAAATATAATTTGAATCGTGAGCAATTAGAACGTTATAAAGTTTTACAAAATACAATTTCATTTTATATAGAAAAACAAGTATAAAAATTACAATAGTAATTCGCCTTTGTAATGTAAAAAAGTACAAAGATATAATATAAATAAAAGTGAAATCGAAATTTTTGTGTCTGATCATTTTTAAGATGAATTATTCAAACACTTAATTACTAGTAATTAAAAATAACATAACACTTGAAATAAAATAACTATTGCCGACTAATTTTTTTACAATCTATAAATAATCTCATTATTTTTTAAAAACTAGTATACCATTTTATATTTGAACACATTTGGTAGTTTGTACTTTTGTTGATCAGTTACACATTTAATGTATTTTAATTAAACAATAAATTCTAATTTCAGTTCAACACTTACCTTATTATATTTTCGTTTTAAAAACAATTATGTAACCTGAGGCATCTTACTTATGTGCAAAAAATATAAAACAAATTGTTTGCAATTATGAAAATTACGATTCAACAATGCCTCAAACTACATATGTTACGGTAACGAGCCAAAATATTGTCAAACATTTAAAAGACAGAACTAAATCATTGTTATAACAAACGTAGCGATAATATTATATAAAATAACTTCTTATTTTCACGCTGAACGAATTGTGTTACGCAGTGACTAAATTTTCGAATTTCAAATTTTTTTTAAATTAAATTAAAAGCACATCGTCGCGTCAACAAACAAGGTACTATATTAAAATATTGATTTTCTGTTAACGACCATTCGACTAGATGGATAAAGCCTGTTTTATCGCTGAACACTTACATCTAGAATAAAAAAATTACAATTTTATAACATAGTTGTAACCAATCTGAATGAGAATTGTTTTTTCGTTTATCATCGTAAAAATTCATTTTATGCGGACATGGAGAAGTATTTTCGCAAAGCAGTATTTTTTCTATTTTGACACAAACAAATGATTATCACTTTAACATTTATGTAATTAATATATAGTCTACGTGAATACACATTGTTCTCGTGTTTCCCTAGTGATTTTAAAGAATATCTAATTCGAAACTTGAAAAGGCACAGACAATTTGAATCTAATTTATACGCTGAAAATAAAAAATTGTAACTTGATCAATATAACGATACACATCAAAATTTTGATCGTATAAAATAATACAATATTTATATTTCATATGTTTATAATAATGCTCAAATTTCAATTTTATTTTCTCGAGATTATTTCTTTTAAATGTTTGAATGAAATTTGAACATCTTTTGGGGTTTCAGGTAAACTAAAAATCTCACATTGTGAGCATGAATATCATCTTTCAAATTATCGTAAACATAACATTAATACAAAATAATTAATATGACAATGAAATATTTGAATTCTGATATACGGTACAACGGAGTCTCCTTGTATAAGCTTGAAGAATATTGAAGCCTTGTCTTCAGCGATTTGCTGCCAAGCATTTGAGTATTTAAAATCGTTAAATTTCTAAACTCGAAGATTTTCACGTTTAGAAATCTTTGTATCAGCACCACTAGTATGCATGAAAGTTTATGTGAATAAAAATTTGTTCAACAGACCATGTAAATGTAAGTTATACAACGACACTGCACTGTAACTTCAGTCCTCTTAGAACTGATCTCCCTTCGTATAAAAATTAGGACAAACATTTAAAGTTTACGCTTGTTTTAGATGTAACAGGGATATCGTACGTTTTGAACAAAATTTTAGCTCGTGTATCGTTTGAAGACTTGAACATATCAGACGAATATGGATATTAATATATACAGTGCATCTAAAAGAAATGTGATACCACTGGGAACTGCAATTATAAAATCGAAAAATCCTTCATTATATCATTATAAACAACTCAAAATTGTATACGTAATTTGGGTGGTGTCAAATTTAAAGGAGTGACTCGTATCAAATTACATTGTAAAGCGATAAAGGATTTTTAAATTCTTTCATCGTGAAGAATTGTCAGTTTTAATGGTGTACATGTTCTTTGAGACACCTTGTATATACAGGGTATCATGTAAGCGGTAACTGTCGAAATGTGAAGATTCTATTTCAAATTATAATATCAATAAAGTTCAAGTATTATTTAGAGCCTTTTTCTCTTATTTCATTTTGTAATTATTCGACTAGATTAAATGCATGGTCGCATTGACTTCCGTGGCAGTATAAGACCGGACAAGTTAATTGAATACATAACTTTACGAGGATTAAAAGTTGATTTCTTTGTGAAAGTAAGCTCCATACAAAACAAATTCTATACATTGTACTTATTTTTGTATGCATTCTATTTACATTACACACCCTGTATATCGCACAGAAAAGAAGATAATCCAAGAAGAATCGATTAGGGCTGTACAGGATTTACACTTACCCCTTAACTCCGTTAACATTTCTGTCCAGGCAATTCTATATCTGATTTAATAAATACGAAGAGACTTATATGTGTATACTTAACAATTATAAAAGAACGACATGCTGGTGTGAGATAAAAAAAATTTGATCGATCAATGGAAAATATCCCCTTGTATGGTACGCGTGTGTATGTATCATCGAGGAATGTATAAATTCTTAAACGCAGGCTATCCGCTAAAAAAATCACGCATTTATAATACATTATCCACGATTTTCGATTACGATAATTGCAAACCCTCGTACGTCAACCGCAGGGTCATTTTGACCTAGCTATAAAAAATAAAATATGCAAAATATAAAAAGTTCGTTTCTTAAGCTCATGCAGAAAATATAATATTTACACCTGACTGTGTATTTCGAATTTTCCATATAATTCAATTTTCGATCCCACATATACGTTTTAGTTACGGGCATTGGTGTAACTATAAGATATGGGCCAAGGTGAGCTTAGACTGCAGGCTCTAACGATACACCGCGTGATCATACAATGTATGGTAATATATTGCGTAACTATACTACGCATGACGATCCAACATGTGGCCATATAACGCATGGCCATCGTTATACAAAAATTTTTATGACGCCAATAATTATGGGTCAAAATAATTATAACCCAGAATGTCTGTTTTCCAAATGTTAACCGATTAATACCCGGAGATAGATAAATATATCATTTCCAAGATTGTACTTTCTATTGCAAACAAAAATACATGCAGATAGGTAACACTAATAATACGACCAAATTGTTTTCTTGGCACCGTAGAAAACTTGTTACAATAAATAAGTATTTATATACTTATAATAGTAAATAGGTAGTAAAAGAAAAAATATTGTAATCAGAAAAAATACACCGTAGTTTTGGGTATTAATAGGTTAACAATTTTGCTGCAAAATTTGCAAAAATAAATGGCTTTGATATCGTTTAACAATACGTTTCGTCAATTTGCTTAATGAAAATTCACAAGAAGAATAATAATTTTTCATTTTTATGGAATGTTTTCTATACTAATAGCATATGTTGTATTATGTACATTAGAATGTTTCTCTTTAGGTGCTTATCGAGATCACAGAAAATGATTCGTAGTTTCCATATAATATTTCTATAATATATATATGCCTATGTATGTGTGTTTATATATATGTTATGCTATTACACACTTTACTTAATTATATTTGATTGACAAATTTTATATAATGCAAAAGATATGTATAATAATTATACGAGCATGTATTATCGATTTCTTTCTAAATAGTTTCCAATGTATCTGAAAATTATAATTCACTTTTTTTTATAATACAGGTTGAACATTAATTTCGACTTTGACACATTTTACAAATACGTTTGAAAAATTGCAGATTGATGTTTCCAACGTTATGAAATCGTAATTTGAAATTAATGGACAAATATTTGAACAGTAAATTGTGTTGGAAAACCAGATGAATTATCTGGCGCATCTAATACTTGAGCGTGCAGTAATACTTAATTCGTTTCTTTTTTTTGTTTTTATATACTTGTGTCTTGAATAACATACAATTCTAAATAAACTGAAACAAAAATAAAAACGGATTTCTTATGTGTTTCATTGAATCATACCTAAATGCGATATAATAATACTTATAAAAAACGTCTAATGTTTTTTCGATATTATAAAAACGACTTTCATCATGGTTTCGAGAGACAGTAATTATTTGATACTTTGTTCCTCAACAGCTGGTTTTGTAAAACACTATGTCAATTCTATGTATACATATATATATATGGTAATTGCGAAACCATGCGTTATTTATAATACCATATAGTATTAAGCGCTGATGTATGGAAATGACATATATAATTATAAAAATGATCAATCATAATTATTCAGTAACAAAGAAACAAAATATAATTTTTATATAAATAGAATATTGTTTAAATAATATAAAACATTAAGAAATAAAGCTGTGGAGGAAAACCTGTTACAGCTCTTTGTACTATCGATAAAAAATAATAAAATTTAGAATAAATCAGTCAAAACGCAGTTATAATTAAAAAGGAAACACTTTCAATAAAACTTTGAAAGTATCTCTCTAATATAATACAATATCTTCTTTTTCTATTTCTTAAAGAAGAAATATAACTGAATTATACTAAACACTTTAAAAACATTGATGTGGCACAAATCATCCTTTGTTCGATTACAAAGTCAATTAAGAGCAGGTACTCCTTTAATCGAAATATTGAGCAAATTTCTATTCGTAGAATTGAGCTTTGATATGCTAACATAAAAAAAAAAAATAAATAAAAACAAAAATTGTAAAACAGCGTTTTGATACGGTCCTTTCTTTCTTTTTGCACTACGTAACAGAACAATATTTATTATTCTCCGATAAAAATTAATTGAATTTTGGCCATGTAGGATAACGTACTTTCTTTTAAGACAAAAAGCTCTTCGATAAATATAACAATAAGAAATGGCCATTATGAATTTTGTTGTTTCAGTAAATCGCAGTAAAAGATTTTTTGTCGGATAGTTTGTACATAAAAAATGATGTGTATGTGCATTTCGGAAATTTTTAACAACTAGAAATACATTCGATTGTCTAAAAACTACACTTAAAGTCAAATTATTATTCGTAAAAATAAATTTCATTGTACTCGAGACGTTTCTTTCTGGAACTTGGGTAAAAGTACACTGGTTAAATCCTTTGCGATTCACAATTCAAATACCTTTTCTCCGATACAATAAATTTTTGAAGAGGATGTTTTGCATCCATCAATTTATCAATAAATTGCATAGTAAGACATGTTAGAACCTCGGCATTTCAAAACAGCATTGTTCATGTTTTTACTCCTTGCTCAAACAAATAGTTTTCTGTGGCTATTATGTAGTACCATTTTTGTATTATTTACAATCATTCAATAAGATAATACAGGTATAAGTAACAGAGAATCACAAAGGATTAGAGATGTAATAATTCAAATAATTAAATCATGAGTACATCCTGTTTAATCCACTAGTATCTCTCATAATCGAGTAAGTTACTTATTTCTGTTCTTAAAAATAAAAAAGAGAAAATAAAAAAATGGCACATTGAAACATAGTCGTTCATAAGAACATATGTAATATCATGCAAATTGTTTTCTGGTAAGTTACAACATAAAAAATTTCGGGATTTTTTCTTCGTTCGAAGATTAATTAATCTTGTACTGTACTCTGTGAAAATCCTTCGTCCGTTTCTTGGTACTTGCTACTAATAGGTATCAGACGCTCAGCCCTTTGCGGTCCTCTTCCCTTTTCATTCTCTCTAAAAAATGACGCGTTTCGTTAAAAAAAAAATAAAGAATATATCCAATCACACTATTAAATAAATATTACTACATGATATAATTGATCAATGTTAGACAGTAAAAATCAAAAAAAGATGGGAACCGGAAAGGGTTCAGCTAAATAACGAACATATTCATTACAGTAAGAACTAATTATGTACAGGCTGGTCTCACAGAGCAATTATCACGTGTATTTTTGTAATATATTTTTTATTAGAACTCCCATCGAAAGGTGAACCATTCGCGTTTGTGGATTTGTAGATAAAATTTATGGTACAAAAGGAGGTGATATTTCTTTATCAAAAATAAATCGAAATAACAAAAAAAAAAAAAACTTGTTTCGTTTGAAGTTCAACTTTCAAAAGAAAAAGTTTTAATAAATTTATAGCTTATACAAGACAGTTTTAATAGACGTTTGTTACGTTAATTAATACAATGAATAATTCAAATTGAAGATTCGAAAAAAGAAATTTTAATTTTTACTCCAAACGAACAAAAATTTATGATATAATTTAGATTTATTTTTGTACGAAGTATCACTATCTGTTTGACTTGCACCACAAGTTTTACCACATTATTTTTTATATTTTCTCCTTTGGGAGGAGTAAATCGACTACTAGTTCGTTTTACTTCTTTTCAACTCTTTCATGCGCGAGTAAATGCTTGCAATACCTTTCCGTATTTGTACTTTCAAAATAAATAGAACAAAAGTAAATTGTAAATAAAGTGGAAAATTCAGAAAGAATGTTCTTTATCCATCTTTAATATGTTCCATGCCTCGTGAAATATTATATATTGACTACGTTTATTTTAAAATTTAACATAACATCTTTGATAAGCTCCTTGGGTAAGTGATGACCAACACAACATGGAACATGTTAAACATAAATAATTTTTTTAAAGAAAAAGCTTGAACCGAAAAAACAGATGTCAACACATTGATTGTTACGAATGTCTGCTACTGAATAAAACTTTAAAAATGTAATTGAATAACTTTGAATAACAGTACTATAAATCAAGAACTTGAAAATTAATTACTGACGTTTTTGTGTGACAATCAACGTGTTGAGCTTCAAATCATGCTAAGCGCTGATAAATATACAGTGGTAGATTCTGAAACATGAAAGAGTTTGTGTATATGTGTATTGTTGCACGAAATATATAAATGTTCTCTAATCCTTGTACAATCAATAAAAGTTACTAATTACATATTCTCAAAAATATGTATTATACGCTATATATTTATGTACATTTGATTCTACGAGGATCGAAGTTGTGTGTAATGCTCTGAGCCAGTTATCTAAGAAAAATGGCTTTTTGCACCATGATACAGGAACTTTTTGTTCTGTGAACATGTTAACGCTTTCATAATATGTATTGTGCACTGGTATAAACTTTCTTTATATAAAATGATATTTGAAACAAATGTAGAGAAAACAAGAATGATATTTGATAGTATAAAAACTGATTTTCCAAAAAGATCCAAGTGAACATACACCACATTATTCTTTCAATTTTACAAAAAGACTTGGACATTGTTGATAAATCAGCTTTCAAGTAGACGCCTCCTACATCGGAACAACCAAGTCTTTTCTTCCTGTTATCGTGTACCACGAAATAAAACAGATAAAATTATTCAATCGTATTCCTGATACCACATTTTTGATCCCCCTATAATGAACACCAAGTACAAGAAATAAAAACGAAGGGGATCGAAAATGCGTGAATGTGTCTGATACTTAAAAATCGGTTGCACCTTTCGAGTATAACCTTTGGGAATGTAGCACGAAAAACAAAAAAAGTAACATTTTTATCAGGAGATTGTGTGTGCTGATGAATAAAGTAAAGACACGTTTATCACGTATATATATTTTTTTTTTTTTGAAAGCGTATATATGTATTATATTAAGATACAATCTTGCATCGTTACGGGCAGCCAGAAGAAGATCGATGAGTCCATAGTGAAATCTTCATAATTCTGATGACCTCTTCTTCAGCTTCAAAACCGCAACTGAATACCACACCTTATCGTCGTGCTTATTACTTGCTGTTAATTCTCATTGACAACACATACTTATTATTCTCCAAAACTAAACGAAGGATACCTTTTGCTTTAAACATTACATATTTATATATATATATATATGTATATGTATTACGTGTAGTGTACGCGTTTCGTTGGTTTCTTAGATTAGTGTAAAGAATAGTGTACGTCGCTTAGAAAGAAAAAACAAACAAAAAATTGATGGAGTTTAAGGACAAATAGATGAAACTGTTTAACAGTCTCGTGATACGACCATATAAACCCCGTGATAACTTGCTCTAAATACTCGCGATAAAATTGTGATGAAAAGTTTTTATAGAGACACTTTCCTAATCAAACTTTTCTATCTTTAGATGTTTTACATACCCTATTCGTGGTCTGCATTACATTTAAAAATAGATATATCTTATATTTAAAACAAGACTTACGAACATTCAGTTATAAAGCGCGAATAAAATAAATTATAAACTAGGGCATGTACGAATGCTTTTTTCTGACATTTATCAGGATGAACGTAAATTACTTGTATTATTGAAAGATGTTATGAAATTCTGTACTTATGAAGAAACATCTATGGTTACTTTAACCCTTTGCAATCTGATATTAAGTCCGATTCTATGTTACTTATATTTTATAAAGTTATACCATATTAAATCCCTAATTTCAAAATACGTAGAGCCTGATACAACTTGATCACATAAAAGTACAATAAAATTATGTTCAGAAGACTCATGTTATTTTTTAATTACATATGCAAAATGATTCGTGCGTGTTATTCTTATATCCCTATAATTTCAAAGATAAGCCAGTTAGTTTATATTAAGAATATTGATGAAATGTTTATGGAACTATTTACATCAAATTTTAAGGTACAATATGATATGCTATAAATGTTATTATGTGATACTTTCACGTTATCAAGCTGTGTCAAAGCGTCCATCATCTTTCAAAATCAGCACGTTGATATGGTACAACTTAATATATTAAATTACTTTAAGAAGAATATTCTAGTCTGTTTGATAGCAACACAATATTACGTCTAGCCATCTATAAAAACATTACTGGACAGTAGTAACTTAAAATAGTTTGAAAATAAATTTAGACTAGATTACAAATGTTAATTTATCTTAAAGAGTTTCCTAAGTGTCCCCTTTAGATTTTAATAAGCTTTGAGATGTTGATAGACCATATTATTGTAAATCTATTCATATGTAGTTTTCATTTCTATTTTTTTTTATTTTTTTTTTTAATATTAGAGGATTCTTGTAACAATTATTAGTGATGCTTTTAGCGAAATAAAAATACTTATATTGAATAAATTCTTGGAAATAATCTATAAAACTGAAGTTCTAATAAGATGCATGTACTCTTCTGCACGTAATCTATCAACATGTAAAAACCTCAGAAGATTAAAATTTATGGGAGAGACTTAAGTGGATTTCCTTGTTAGCTTCAGAATTTCATGTATTAACGATTCGCAGAAACGATCAGGAAAGTGTCTAGATACTCTTTAGATTGACTTATACGAGAGATGAACGTCCTTGTCCTCTTGGGTTTGTTCTGAAGAACTTGCAAGAAAATCAAACACGACGAGATCGCAGCTAAATACTGCATGCTACATCTTGCTGTTCTTCTTTCTCCGTGTGTCTTGAGTGAAAATTCTTTTTTCATTTTTCTGCTGTTTCTCCCACTGTATAATCGTTTTAATGTCTCGAACGATGCGAAGAATCTCCTCTTTCGTCGCGACGATCTCTTTCTCGTTCTCGTTCCCGTTCACGCTCTGGTTCTCGTTCTCTCTCTGATGGTCTCCGGCTTGACTCTCGTTCTCGATCTCTGTCTCGTTCACGCTCTCTGTAGCGATCGTCATAATACCTACACAAGTCACGTCAGCCAATTATCTTACTTTTTAGCAATGTACAATTATTTTGTTTCTATTGTACTTTGTTGTTTTTTCTTTTTAACACTTTGACGGTCACGAGTTTCATAGAATTTGTACAAGTTTGTACTGTTGTGTGTAGTTTAGGCTGCTCATAAATAACAAGAAGTTAAGAGAAGATCAAAGGTTCTGCATAGATTTGGCTCTCTCTGTCTTTAGGTTGACCTCTATTCTCTCTAAACCAAAGCGGGATTTTCCCTACACTTTCTTTTGATGAAAAAAGTTGTCAATGTATTGTCAGTTTATTGTCAATTGATGCAGTCTCGTTCACAGCAATACATACAATCAGAGACAAGTACACTCGTTAGGATCCACCGGAGCACACAGCTTGCATTCCCGAGCAATTCTCATTTCCCATCACTATCATAGATCTCCCATACGACGCAGATTCCTGCGCGAATAAATACAGCAAATACAGCTAATTCTTTGTAGTTCCAATCATATGACACGGATTTGTTTCCATAAATAAACAGCTTCGCGTAATGCTTCTTATTTCTAAATTCAAACAGAGCCTCCAAATTGCAGCTAGTAGCTACTGCACTATTGAGAAATGAAATCTAAATTATGCATGATACACCGACCGTCAAAGTGTTAACATTTACATTTTCTTAGATCTTTACACGCCAACTCTTTCTTTAATTAACACTAACTTTTCTATTAACAGTTCTTGTGTTTTATATATATATATATATATATACACATATATATATTTACATTGTCATTATAGAATTTGTGTTCGTTCGGTTATTAATCTTTAAAATTACCAAGCTTTGCATGAGAGAAGAGAAGAATATTAATGCGAAAGTGATTTAATAAATTATACATAATCGTAGTATTGTTATACCAAATTTGAAACTGTGATCAATGACTCTAAACAAAACAATTATTGAACTCGTGAAACTCTATCGTGATAACATTTATCGTCGTCAGGTATATTACAAAAAGGGAGAAACTATGATAAAGTCGAAAGCTTATTCGAACTCACAAATGATTTGAAAATCTTTCTCAACGTAAAAATTGAAATGGTCTTTATTTATAAATTAAAGTATCATATTAACTAGGATGCTAGCAGTAACTAGCAGTAATATAACGTTTATTGGATATTCATGTTAGCTCTGCTTGAATCTGTTTTTTAGGATTGAATAAAGTAAATCTTTTTGTTTTGTAAAAGAGTCTACATGCATTCACTTTAATGAAAAAAAAGTATAAATTACCTAGACGCCTTGGAAGACGAGACGGGAGCCGTCTCTGGCGGTTCTTCTTTTACTCTTGGCCTGGCTGACTGACGTGTCGTACTAATGGAAAATGCATACTTTGTTATGACGTATACGGTTACCAGGCTTAGTAGCGTTGCTTTAGTTAATAAAATCTAATGTTATACAAAGATTATATATTTAATTCTCTTCCTATCGAGCAGTGATTTCTCAGTGACCACTCACTTAACTGGAACTTCGCTTATTCGACTAACATAATACGATTATACAAATAACTAATATGCTTTTCTTTAGCTACTTTCAATGGATCATCAGGCATATTGACTAAATTGAAAAATATGTCATAAATTACACTAATGGTCCAATAACCGTATCTTATATACGCTACATCAATTAATAAATTATGTGAGAGTATATTTGCGTTCACATATTCATTCTCGTAAAAGCGTATAACAACCGATCGTTAACCTGTAACCATATTAAAAATTCAAGAATGATACAATATAAAATTGACTGATGTTATGATGCCTCTACTTCTATTGATATGGTTTTAGGATTACGATGTACCTAGTTGCGACAAAATACATGTGTCTATATATCATTAACACGTTAAAATCGATATTACAATAGTCCTATAAATAGCGAAGCGTCTTGCGATTCTTTATTACATGTATAAAATCAATATTCAATGATCTTAATACTTAAATACTTTCTCTTTTGTTATAGTTAGCAGTCTGCACATTACTATAATGTACACAGTCTAATCTTTATCTGATCTCATTCTAAATAATTATATACATATTAATATAATGAACAAAACAATCTTTATAATTATTTCATTTTACTTATTCTATCCATGCTTGTGTTTACAAGCACATATTATTCAGTATTCTGCATGAGAATTAATTATTTAATTTATGAATTCTTATTTTCAATAGTCACTGATATTTATGAAAATATTATAATAATTTGATTCAAACACACACTTAGCACTCAATGTTTGAAATTAGAATTATAATTAGCTCAAAAATTAAATAATTAATCCTTTCATCATATTTTTTCAAACACATGTAACAAAGATCCTACTTGCAATATTATGAGTAAAAGTATTATAATAGACTATGAACAATCATTTGCATGTAATGTACTATTTTCAGAAATTGTACAAACATAAGTAACAAAAAGTATGCACAATGTTTTACTTAATTAAATACTTCCAATGATGACAAAAAGAAAGAATTATAACTACACAGAAGGAAACAAGAGGGAAAAATGATATTGATGTAGAGTATAATTAGTTTTAAGGTAGAAGCTAAAATTTTTTTTTTTAACTTTACTTCAAATTAATTCATTTTCATTAACTGAAAAAACTACATTACGCAGCTTCAACCTTTAACTTTTTATTGATGCAAATTAATGCAATTCAAAAAACATTAAGTGCACTCGTACACACACTTCAAATACCTTATTGTGATAAAAATGATTTGCTGAAGTAATATTAACATTGAGTACAAGAGTTCATACTTCTTTCCTCCAGTTTACAGAACAAAATAAGAATGCTAATACATTTTTTAAACTATTGCAGTGTATATAATAAATGAACATGAATTGTTCTTAATCTACATACTCCATACGTTAGTCACTGAAATAATTCATATGACATTTAGAGTTTTGGTTATTCAACCTTTAAAATCTTTGATTTCAGTTATACTGAATATTCTCGAATAAGATCAATTCATTAAATTACAATATTCTCATTTGGTGTATAGTAAAATTTGTAACATTTTACAAGATAATGTATAACTCGCAAACCGAATTGCTACCTTAGTTATATCATTATTTTCATTACATCATTTTTATGTAAATATTTCTAAAACATTACACCATTCAAAACTTGAGATCGCAATATTATAAATTTCTGTAAGTACTGTAAAAAATTTCTTTATCTATCACCTTCTAAAGTAGCTAACAAGAATCAATGATTAATTTTAACAATTATTTATCACTTATTAATGTGACATTTAAAAAATGAAATTAAGAATCTTCGTAACTTTATAACTTGTATAAGACTGTTTTATTTTGTTCTTTATCATTTGAACTTGCGGTTGTTGAACAAATAATAAACTTGTTACTGTGTTAACTAGTAATTACTACCGTTTATAATAATACAATAAACTTTGGAAACATACATGACAAATATTTTTTTTGGAAATGTTCTTGTACGCATTTATATACGTAGTATAATATTTGTATAGTATACTAAATAAAATTTTATAGTAATGCAGTAGTTTTTAACTGTCTGATTTCCGCTTACGTAAAACATAGCTGATACTCGGATATCATTCATTATATTAATTTTAACTTATACATGTTTCCGAATAATCATACGTAGTAAATTACAGTTAACACAGAAATGAAAGTTTAATATCCATAATTTATCTGTCACCTTGAAAATAATCGGCAAGAATGCACAGCACCTGAATTAAAATATTTGATTGTAATATTAATAATATCCACTTTTTATGTGAAGAAACAACATAACTTCGATACGTTGCATATTATCTCGAACCGTGTAATTTTACCATTCATCAACCATACAACATTTTTAATTAAAAATATACGAGGAATAAAAAGTAGACATTATTGAATAATCTAGTACTTAGAGCAACAAAACCTACTTACTTAACACATTAATTGCTGCTCTATAAATTTGTGAACTATATTGTAATTAGAATTCATTTCTTTTTTAAATTATTATAAGCTTATAAAAAGGGTATGTACAAAACGATAATATTTAAAACGTAGAAATATCTAAAAGCAATTAATGCGTCAATATGAAATTAATGTTACTTAATCTTGTCGCTGTTATTTTTACAAAACTGGGTTCCAGTCACTTAGCCAGTTAAAAATATTACAGATAATAATTACTAAAGACTGTCACTCAAATGTTCTATAATTAATCAGTATAATTTATAAATTGCTTAATAATAAAAAGAAACTAGTGAACGATGCATAGTTCATAAATTCTGTTGCACATTGGACTGCAAACTGTAAACATTTTATAAATTATTACACGATTGTATAAAAATTGTCTACGACTTTTATCTGTAATTTCGTGTAATTTTTTCTTAAATAAGTAATTGATACAATTGATACGAAATTAAAAATAAAATTACAATAAATAATTTGAATATCTAAAATCAGTTAAGTTTGTCTCAACTGAATGTTTTAATATCTAAGTAATTATTACTGCTTTACAATAAATTCGATTCGTTAGTGAATATTCACACTATAAATTAATATATAGTGCAGTCGCGCTATATAGCTCTTTTTGATGTAAACCCTTAGATGCGACTTCCTTTCGTACAGATCAATTTTCAAATTCCCGGACTTTCGACGATAGAACTTGGCAATAGAGTGTTACCGAAAGAAGTTTCACTTTTATAACGCATTCTATAATTTATTCTGTTTTATAGACCCACATCTAGAACTATATAACAAGACTCCGCTGTATTCTCTTCTAAACATCTTTCACAGTATTTCTCACTTAAATTACTTGCATTCTTGTGGAACTTTGAACTATTTATTGCTATATTAAATTGAGACACTCGATTTAAATGTTTTAGATGATGTTCATGAAAAAAGATTCTACAACTTAGTTTCCCCTATTCGAAGAACGTCATACAATCAGTGAACTTATCTTATCTAAGTAATATCGTTATTACACGATATCTGCAACTTTTGTGATGTTTATAAAATTTTTTGAAATGTAAGATACTATAACAGTTCCTATAGTATATTATGATTCATTACAATATAAGTAATTGTAATTATAAATTTATCGTATTATTTTTAAATCATACGTATAAGCGCTATGATTAAACGGAGGCTATCAATGAAGCAGTGACTGTCGATAAATTCTTAACTGAACTGGATAAGGTGTATCCAATAGTGACAGTTAAAATAATTATGAGATGTTGAGCTTACCTTTCTTCTCTGCTTCGTTCTCTATATTCACGATCTCTTTCGCGTTCACGATCCCTCTCTCTGCTCCGTGATCTCTCTCGTGGATATGGTTCACTATAATAACGTTCTCTATCACGATCACGATCCCTCTCTCTTTCACGATCGCGTTCTCTGTCGCGTTCTCTGTCCCTGTCCCTGCTTCTCTCCCTGTATTCTCTGTCACGACTCCTTGATCTTTCACGTCTCCTTCTATGGCTGCGTTCTCTATCGCGAGAACGGGACCGTTCTGAAAAAATAAAAGGGTAAGAAATTTTTTTTGTAACTGCAAATACAAATATAAACTGCTTTTTTATTTACTTAGATCGTAAATATTTATTCTTTGCGTCATCCTTTACAAGAAAAAAGAGAAATATATAAAAGTTCATATTATAGAAACGACACGCGCCTGCGTATGTATGCTATTGAGGTGTATATTAAAAAATTCCTCAATTTCTAGTTGCATATAAGCTTTACACCCCTACAATCCCAGATAATTATATTACAGTGAAATTAAATAAAAAAAATTTACCTCTACGTGCTGATCCGTAGCTTTTGGTTTCGACGCCGCGTAAAGTATCTTGAAGAGAACTGATTAATATTTTGCATCTATCGTCCGCGGCAACTTTAGATTGTTTTATTAAAGAAATAGCTGTAACTAAGGTTTCTATAGCACTTGCATATTCTCCTGCCGCAGCATCAGACACTGCTCGAGCAATGGCTGATGAAGAAACCGTTCTATTTCTGCCCATTATTTCTTCAAATTCTTGCTCCGTAAGTGGAGGAGGGCCGTCTGGACGATGGTCAGGTCCCGGAGCACCATAAGGTGGCTATAAAATATATATTTCATTTTGAGCCTCTTTCATTAAGAACTTCGAAAATATTTTGTTGCAATTTTTTAACAGTTTGAAATAATCCTGAATGTAAAGAAGTGTATAGTATACCTGTGCTGTAGGTGGACCATATCCGTGAGGTGGTACATGGGGCGGCCCGTGAGGCTGACCGTGTGGAGGCCCATGAGGGGGACCATGTGGTGGCCCATGAGGCGGTCCATGTGGCGGTCCATGAGGTGGACCAGGAGGACCTGGTGGATGCTGTCCTGGATGTTGATGAGGTGGTCCTTGCGGGAAGAATGCTGGATTTACGTGTGGTGCTGGTCCTCCGGGAGGTCCTTGCGGTGGTCCTTGAGGTGGTCCTCCGTGTCCCGGTGGGGGTCCTCCTGGACCTGGTAACATTCCTGATCAATATCTATGTTAGCTTAAAACAACGTATACAGCAAGCTTCCAAAAATACTTTTTTCTGTAATTAATTTAATAATCGTGTGTCTCTTCTGACTTAGGATATGTTTGCACAATGTTATAATACATTATATTTGATCAAATATTCAAATATTATAACCTCGTAAAATTCGTGTATTGACTTTACAACAGCAAAAAATAACATCATGTTTCATGTTATTTTTGTCTGAAACACCTTGTACCATCATACTCCTAAGCATGAATTTCCCTCAATATCATGCATTATATGAAAAACGAATAATGTTATGAATATTCACTGAACATTCTAAATGTCTCACCACCCATAGAACCTGGAGGAGGTCCTCTCTGTGGTGGGCCTTGACCAGGTTGCGGGCCTTGCATATGTTGATGTTGAGGGAAACCTGGTGGTCCCTGAGGCCCGTGATGCATTCCTATGCACATTGAATAATTATATCAGTTACCTTTTTTACAGTAATTTGATTAAATAGTGCTTTGTTATTTAAGGTAATTTAAAATGTGTATATTTCATACTTGCTTTTCATTATCATTCAGATACTTTTATGATACATTTTACAGTTATCATATCACACATCTATTCCATCATGCAAATTATAAACTGTAGAATGAAAAAATTATACAACAATAGTAAAGAAAATTAAGGAAAAGTAAAGAACATGAGTCCAAGATGTTTCAGCATGTCAACTAACATAAATTATGATATTGCACAAACCTGGTGGTCTATTCCATTCAGGACGTGGTTGGGCACCTCTTGGATCGCCTGGAGGTCCACCAGGATGTCCAGGTGGACCGCGTGGAGGTCCTTGACCAGGCGGACCAGGCGGACCACCATGAAATTGCTGAATGGAAACAAATATTCTATTTCAATTTACCATAATTAAATTAAAAGCCATTTTTTATATTTCAATTGATACTATACGATAACGTTAAATGAATTATTATTACAGTACTTTACTGGGACAAACCAACAAGAAGTTTCTGTTCATTCTATTTGATAAACTTTATAACAAAAAAAGTATAATGTACTAAGATATCAGAGCCAGTTAATTCATTAAAAACTTTTCATCAATGTGCTGCAAAAAATTAATTAATCATTAAACAAATACTTATTTTCGAAAATACATTTATACTGAACTGCTTACAAATTTTCTAACCATATTGATTGAAAGAATTTTAATTTCGTATTTTTACATTTCAATAATAAATAACAGAATATAACAAAAAAAAAAAACAAAATAAATAGATATTAATAAACTTAAAAAATTATTCAGTTTTACAACGTGAAAAGCAAAAGAACAACACATTGTGTGTTACCTGTGGTATATGGTAACTGGCTTCTGAAAGGTCTCTAGTGCAACTCTGTTTACGCGGAGCGTAAGACATGTAAGTGCAAAAAATATTCTTGTAACTTGTACCCTAATTATGAATCAATGTGAATAAAACATGTTACTGATACCTTAAAAATCAAACTTTGTTAATTTTCAGAAAATTATTACAAATAATTTTAATTTTCATCGCAGGTAAGGTTTCCCCTAATAATTCCATGGTAAAAACATATATAAGATTTTTAAAATATCACATTTTAAAATATCAAACATTAAATGTTACATATAAAACAAATTTAAAGCGCCGATTATTAATTAAAAACAAATCAATGCAATTATAAAGCCAAAATTCTTGTAAAAAAAAGTTACATACCATTCCAGGTGGTCGATGTTGTCCAGGACCTGGACCAGGTGGTCCTTGTTGAGGTGGACCACCAGGTCCACTTGGACCTCTCGGTGGTCCAGGTGGACCATTAGGTCTTGGGCCATTCCATGGTCCTTGTTGATATCCAGGAGGCGGAGGACCCTGATTAGGATGTCCGGGTAAAGGATGGTGTGGTCCTGGTCCAGGACCCATTGGTGGACCATGCATACGTGGCGGACCTTGTTGACCAGGTCCACCTGGTCCTGGTGGACCCATACCTGGAGGTGGCATTCTCTGTGGTCTTACTTGTGGAGGACCCATCATCATCCTAGGACCATGATTCTGTTGTGAATGTTGAGGGTGTTGGGGATGCTGTGGATGTTGTTGATGAGGTGGCATTGGTGGCTGATGCTGATGTGGATTATGAGGACGCTGACTCTGACTCTGCTGAGGAGCTGGAGCTGGACGTGTCTTACACTGAGACTCAAACTAAAAGCAGATACAAAAATTGCAAATTTTTGAAATATCTATAAAATAACAATAAAGCTGTCATTACTTTCTTTCCCACAATAATGTAATTATTTTCTGGGCAATAAAAATTGGTATACTTACTTGATTCAAAGCTTGTTTAGTAGGAAATGTTACTACTGGGTTCTGTCCATGTAATTCTTTTTTAGGTAATCTTTCCATACATGTCCTCATGCTTTGTTCCGAGCCCAAAGATATTACACAGAAACCTTTAGATTGTCCATTTGCACGATTTTCAAAGAATTTTACTTCTACAAAATCAGACACACCAATACTTTGCACTGCGTCTGTTATATCTTGATCGCTTGTCCACTATAAATGTAAAAATATGACATTAATATTATGTAATCTTAGTTTCTTTTTAACTAGCAAAGGAACCTGATAAATAAAAATATACAAACATTAAATTACATACCCAAGTCAAATTACCAACATATAATTGATGACGTCGTCCAATTTGGTTAGGTTGAATGTTATTTCCAAGTTGATGGTAAGGGGCACTACCATTTGTCTCCTCATTAGGTGAAGTGGTGTCACCTCCACCATCTCCACTGTTTCCTGTAGAAACACCACCATTACCACCTGCAGGAGCTGCTATCACATCATCGTATAAATCAACGCCATCACCAGCAAACTCATCCTAAAAAATATAATCAAATGTATTGTTTTACTTAAATGAATTATTATATGAAGCATTTTCACTGTACTAAAATATATTTATGAGTTTTATAAACTATGATAACAATTACAGATTTGATATTTCTGGTAATATACAAGGTGTCCTAAAGTTTTTTAACATGTTAGAATATTAATATTCATAGTTGTATAACTCACTCTCACTAAATTTCTTATAAATTATAGGCTTCTTAAAATTAAAAGTACAAGGAAAAAGCTTTCCATCATTTGCTTTCAACTTTGCCCTTTGCGTGCAAAAACATGAAAGTTTGTATTTTTTCTAGGTTCTTAAAAAGTTGAAAGCAAATAGTAAAAGGCTACATCCTTTATCTTCACATTTACAAAGCCCACCTTGCACGCGAATGTAAATATAAAAATAAAGACTGTAAAAAGATTAATTTTATTAGGGAAAAGTATACATACATATTTATATACAAATCTTTAATTACAACTTAAGCATTTGAACACTTTTAATAGTTTAAAAAGTAATAAAATCACTCTAAAAATATAGAAGTATTAATATGCTCTACAAATAATATGCGTCACAGACGCTCATTAATGTCAAGCACATAGGCCGTAAAAATATTTGCTTTCTAAATAACCGCGAATTGTTCCGTTGTAAATGAATAACGTTTTAATAAATCTACATATAAAAGAAAGTACCACTTATTAAAATAATGGACAGACTTTCGCATGCAATAATAGTGTGTCAATTAAAAGTGAATTGATAAACGAAATAGGCGAAAAAGTGCTACGACATTTGCCTTACCGCTAACACCATTTTGCTTTTCTTGCTGTGAATCTGTATTACACGTATTTGCTTTTAGTATTCCGATGCAATGAACGTGCACACAAAGTACACTAATTATGTAACATAATACAGAAAATGTTTATCAACGATAATAATCGAATGTAACAAATATTTGTCACGAATAAAATATATGTATGATGAAACTCATGGATCGCCTAAACAAGATTTAGGTACCGCTCTTCGAGCAATCGTTACCGTCTCTCCTCCATGACGCCGAACATCCCGCTCTACTATCGCGTTTTTCTCACAGTTTTAAACGGTTTTTATGAAAGCAATCGATTAACAACAACGTGTACCCACCAACTTGTTATTTATTAACAAAGATAAAAACGAATTACCTGCGCGAAATCTTGCTCGAGATCGTCGGCGTACAAATCAATGTCACCGTCCGCCATTTTACGTACACCGACGCTCACTGCATTTGACGAAGGCGCCAAGCCTAAAGAAATGGTGGGTTATAGGAGAAAACGTGTTGGCGAATTACGTTACGTTTTCGTCCAAAACGGACATGACGTCATTGCGCCATTATTCTATCTTCCGATAAACTGTGAATTGAAGTGTAACCAGATCCAAAGTTGCCAATATAAGATCAAGAAAAATTGATTTTTCTTGCTCTTTTAAAAAAAAGAAACATATTTATTATTTAAATTTTATCACATGCTCCTATTTTCTTATTTACTGCTAAATTAAAATCTAAAAAGAGCGATCTCACAAATTTCGAATTTTTTTCAATTTCTTTCTCAAATTATTGAAGAGAATTATTGTTAGAAAGATATTATTTCACTTTTTACGAAATAGTAAGATACTTATGTTAAAATAATAAATTCTTAATAAAAAGAATATAATTTTTCAAATTCTACAATTAATACGAATATCACGAATATCAAAATTATAAATATTTGAAATGATTCTCCGTTCAATGAAAAGACCGTAGTCATTCGCGCAGTGCAGCTAACTTCAGTTGGCCCCGCACTATTCGGTGTAACTCTACTACTAAATACTTTTTACTTCATTCGTCATATACACAGTGAACAAAAATATATTAACAGGGCAAAAAAATAGTAACAGAGCAGAATTACCTAACTTTCATGGGTCGACAAAGCATCAATGGCACGCGTGTATGTTTCATTTTTATATCATAGATGAAATGCTATAAAGTGTAATACCTTGGGCCCCTTGATCTAAATTTATGAGTGCTAATATGATCTATTTTCGGAACTGACCATTTATCGCTACGCATTCGTTTATTAAACATTATTTTGCAAAATAATACAAAGTTTCGTCATTCTAAAGCCTCAAAGTCTTAAAGTTCCATTTTAAAAAACTGCAATACAAATTTTGAGAACCTTTAGTACAATACAGTGAATATGCAAGATTCTTGCTCACTGTATATATAAACTCAGGATCGCAATGCTGTAAAGACGGTACGCTCGTTGCTTTTGGTTGTAATACATACTCAACCAATCATAGTTGACATGCGCAGAATAAATAAAAACTCGTGAAATGATGAGTACGATTTCCTGTTGAACGAATAATAATTTATTTGCACTAATTAAAATTTTTTCAAATAAACTTAAAAATTTCATACATGATTTAAAGTATTTTAATAATTTAACGATTTGGAAAATGTGAATTCTCTACGAGAACTTCATTTCAAGCGGAAAGTAACGTAGGGAATTTTAGTATTGCATGATACTAGCACTTCACAGAAAAGAACTAGAGAACAGAAAAGAATACAAGGGGGACTAATTTCGTATTGTGCGATTTACTATCTACCGACACAACGACCGGTTCGTTGTTCGACTGTGGTTCGTATCTTTTGTGATCAGCTTCAGTTCTGAAAGGTATGTTGCCGCTAATTATTAACGGTTTCATTTCTTCATTTCAATATCTTGAAATAACGCTTTCAATTAAAAGTAACTGTATTTGGTTTTTTGAAGTTTTCACGCATTTATAACCCTGAAAATAGTTAATTTTTGTCTATCCCATGTGCATGCTTTTTATGCTCAAAAATTGCCTTTGTGATATTTTCTCATTTCTTTAATCAGTTACTAACTTAATAAATAAAAAAAGAAATGAGGAATACAGCGAACTTAACATAATTATATCTATCAAGTAATTGAAGAACTAATGTAACTTCCGCCTTTTTTTCATGATCTACGCGTTCCCTAGCAAATAACCTTTCTCCCTCGCGAACATGGTGACTTTCAAATGTCAGTTTAACATTGTATAGAAATCTAATTGTATTTTCTTATATAAAATGTTTTTTACAATATTAAAATTATAGAGATATGTAAATAATTACGATTTAAGATCCTTTCATAAATTAAGATAGAAAATACAATATCGCAATGTGCAATTAAATTTTAGCACGTTTGTAAATTGATTGAAGATTTTGCTTTATGCTATATTATTCAATTTTATATAAAATTAACGTTTAGTTTCAATATTTTTATTTTTTTAACTTTATGTATATTGCATATATATTCATTTTATTCAATATGCTATTTTTCTTTTTTCCATTTGTTTCTGTTACAGAAATATTTCTTGTAATGTACTTTTTATTTTATTACAAGTTAGCTACTTTCGTTTTAATCTCAGATTTAAATGCAAGAAAAAATATTTCTATTGATATTTTATTAAATATCTTTTCATTACTAATAAGAATAATTTTATAATTATATTACAAAAGTAATTAATAGTTTTTATATAACATATGTTTGTAATGCAAATAAAAATCTACTTGTAAGTTTTATATTTATGTAATTTAAATGAGTCAAGAAACTAAAAATGTGTATATTTTAATCTTAAAGTGTCTACGTAAAATTCCATGACTTGAGTATTTTTTAATTTCTTATTTCAAATGTAGATATATCATAATAATATTAGTTCATCAATTTCAATTTAAACTGGGCTATATTTTCATGTTGTAATTTAAATATATTTAAAACTGATTTAAATAAATTAAACTTTCAGTCATAAGATTAATTCTATTTTATTTATATATGATTGAAAATTTTTATTCTTGTACCCCTTTAAATTAAATAAATGTTCTATGTTAGCCAAAATGGTTAAAGTCATTTTCTATGTTATGAGATTTATGGGTCAATCCAATCTCTTCTTTTGGTTAATAAATATTGATTTATCATTGAAGTTTATTCCTTCCATGCATATTTATAATGGTAATAGGAATAAAATGAAGTGACAAACCATTTAAATTTTCTGCATAAAATATTATTTTATATTGGATACAAAAGTTTTTGAAAATTATGTTTTTTATTAAAATTACCACATTTATCTCTTTTTTTATAACCTGTAACTGCCCAGAATATTTGATATTCTCTTTGGAGATACAATTTTTTTTTTATATAAAAAGAATCAAATCTGGATTATAGTACTATGACAACTGACCCAGAGCGCGTTGGCGATAAGAGTGATATGGAATCTGTTGAAGATGAAGATGATAACAACACTTCAGAGTTTACTTCCCAAATTTTACGTAGACCTGATGTGTTAGCTGCTCTACAAGATCATATTCCTGCCCCAGGAATAGAGGTATTCAAATTTTGCATTGTGAACTGTAAATAATAATTGATAATTGATTTTTATAGAATTGAGAGAAATTCATTAATTATATTTGATCATATTATAAATTATATACTTTTGTACAACTTTATTGTTAATTGTATGAATTTTTGTTTAAATAGTTGCATAATTTTTAACAGTTTAATGTTCAAATAATTAATTTTGTATAACAATGTTTTACATTATTTTAACAAAATAATATTATTCATTATTGTTATGCATTCAAATAATAATATGCTTATAAAAAACTTTAAGTATATACTATGCTTTATTTATAAAATTTACGATTATGAACATATTGTTGTAGAGAATAAATGCTATATAAAACTTATAATTTTATTTCACGATCTATTTTTTTAAATTCATATAGTTGTTTTATATATCTAAATTTCATTTCATAAATTATGATTTTATATAATTTTAGTTTATGTGCATTAAATATTGCTTCTTAAAACACCTATTAATATAAGTTATGTATGCATTGTATGCAGTAGTTTAGAGTATGATTTCAAATTTCGTATGTATTAAATGTTGCTTACTTCACAAAAGTGGGAAAGTATTTTAAAATAAGTGTGAAGTATTTTAGATATTTATGAACCTTATAAAATATTTCTATAATATTTCACACTTTAAGTAGGACTTGTACTTGTAGTTGAGTTCAGATACTTATATTTAAAATGTTATACAATTATAAATTTTGACATATATATATAACAACTAAAATAAATAAAAGTTGTTCTTGTTGATATGTCCAATTTGTAACTCAGAGAAAAATATTTCTTGACTATCAAACTATCATCAACTACTATGTGTAAGCAATTGTATTCTAAATAGTATTTTTAATTTTTAGCAAATGCAGAATCTTCCAGCTTCTGTAAAACGCAGAATTAAAGCTTTGAAACAATTACAATTAGTTACTACCAATATTGAAGCAAAATTCTATGAGGAGGTACATGCTTTGGAATGTACTTATTACAAAATGTGTGCACCTCTTTATGAAAAGAGGAGTGAAATAGTATCTGGTGTTTATGAGCCAACGGATGAACAATGTGTATGGGAAAGTGATGAGGATGAAGAGGGATTAACTAATGATTTAAAAACGAAAGTGAAGCTCGAAGATGATAAAGATGTAAAGAAAGAAGAGTATGTCTATTTTATGTTACATTTATTTCATTGCTTTGTTATTTTTTAATTATGAAATTGACTTATTGTTATAATAGAAACAGTGTTAATTAAATCTGATTATTTTAGGGAGTTAGCTGAAGATGCAAAGGGCATTCCAGATTTCTGGTTGACAATATTTAAAAATGTTGGAACATTAGCTGACATGGTTCAAGAACATGATGAACCAATACTTAAACATTTGTATGATATTAAAGTAATATTCCTTGAATCTAATCCAATGGTAAGTAAAATATATGTATTTCATAAACATTATACATCTAAAACATAAAACATAAGTAAAGTACGAAAAATAAACGAAATTGCATTAAGATGAAGTAAAACTTTGTTTTTAGGGTTTTGTTCTTGAGTTCCATTTTGAACCAAACGAATACTTTACTAACTCGGTTTTAACAAAAGAATATATTATGAAATGTACTCCTGATAAAAATGATCCATTCAGTTTTGAAGGGCCTGAAATATATAAATGCAAGGTAAATGTTAGCAATATTTAAGTGCATATGTGCGTAAACAAGACAACATTAAAGATGGCGTTTAAAACGTTTATTTACTTTTTATTTTAAGGGTTGCGTAATAGATTGGAAAAAGGGAAAGAATGTCACGGTAAAAACCATTAAAAAAAATCAGAAACATAAATCTCGGGGGTCCATGCGAACTGTAACAAAAACTGTTCAAAATGAATCATTTTTCAACTTTTTCAATCCACCAGTTGGTACGGTCGAATAATAACTTCTGTGTTCTACATTTTTATTTCATATGACAATTAATTTTTCATATCCCTAAATTTTTTTTTTCAGTACCAGATGATGCAGAAGCAGAGTTAGATGACGAAACTCAAGCTTTGCTAACAAGTGATTTTGAAATTGGTCATTATATTAGAGAGCGTATAGTTCCTCGAGCTGTACTGTATTATACAGGTATGACATATTTTTTAATGAAATTGTAACTACTATGCATAGCTGTACACTCGTGACATAGTAAAAGTGCAAAAAATGTACAAAGTAAATTATACTTAAAAAATTAAATCAATTATAAAACTGGATATAAAAATACTAATGCTATTTCAGGGGAAGGATTAGAGGATGAAGACGAGGACTACGAAGAAGAAGAAGGTGATGAAGATGATCCTGAAGATGAGGATGAAGATGATGAGGAGTCCTCTCCTACTAATGCACCGTCAGGTGGGAAACAGCAAGGAAATGATCCTAATGAGTGTAAACAGCAGTAGAATTACATACAAATTAAGATAAGAAAAATCGTTCATGCGTACAATAAGTGACAACACACGAAATCTGACCGATAACTGCCTAGATATCCTACACCTACGGTTCCAAACCTAATCTTGTTCGCATCAGTCATCTAATCATATCATGTCTCCTATTCCAGATCAAGCCTAGAATCTTCAACATACCAGTGACAAAATTATGCATACCTTCCCCCTTTATCCGATGTTGACGATGAATAGAAATACGGCTCATTTAATAGCTAAGATTTAATAATATCATAAGCATAAACGATTGCGCTCTCAGCTCTACATAAATCATGTCATTTTTAATTGCTTTATTTTATACTATTGTTACGTTTATACACACAAAAAAGGAAAGTTAGTTGAATTTTTTTCAAAACGCACGTTGATCTATGAACAAATTTTTGGGTACTGTTAAAGCATTTTTAATACAAAAATTAAAAAAAACAGCAGACAGCGCTTTGTTTCTTCTCGCCGTATTATAAACGTAGTGCCATTTTCTCCCTTTTTACATAAACGTTTCTCCTCTTAGAGGTTCTTACAATTTTCCTTAAGTTATACAGAATTATATCCCTTTTATACAAATTTTATACTAAATTGTTTTTGCTCCAATTTGTTATGGACTGAATTATATTGGACTTTGAAATCAACAAAGTTTTTCTATGTTACCTTTATGATAAATTTGATCGACGTTGGATATAATATTTGCAGCATGTATATGATACAAGTAACGGTCGAAGTTAATATGGTAAGTATTATATTTAAATTTATTATAAGATCTTTAAGTGATAAAAAAATGACATAATTTAAAGGGATCATAAATAGTAGTACATTCTAAATCGAATAAAATGAATAGTACTTGCAAAACAATCTTTATGACTGTTATGCAGTAGCTGCGTATTCTTAATTATTAATCAACACCAAAATGCAGTCATTTAATATATTAAAATGGTTTTTAGTTATTTTACATGAAAAAATACATGACCACATATACGGAGTAATACTTATTGAAATGAGCATTTACATTTTTCTATATTGCTTTTCTTTTATTTGAGAAGAAAATTCAGTAGGGTTATGTTTATAGCGACATCTTGGAAAAATTATACGATACAAAGGTCAATGCTACTTGTTAAGTCTTTGTGCATGCTATGTGTGATATGATAATTTTGTTTGTGACTGATAATGTGAAAGTTGCATTGACTGTTTCTTTTTTTTGCAGATTGAAATATTGAACGTATTTTAATGTATTAATATTAATATTAAGTTATTAACATGTCGCAAAAGGATAAACAAATTTTGAAACAATTTTATAATTGCTGGATTTTACGTGACGGTAAAATTTTAAAGGAGGATCTATGGGTTCGTGATGGGAGGATTGTCAACCCCGAGAAAATTTTTTATGATGAAAAAATTAAACCAAATATTAGTATTGATTGTAATGAAGCACTAATTTCTCCTGGCTATATTGATCTTCAAATTAATGGTACTTAACGCAAGTATAGTTTAACAAAATTATTTTTCAGTACATATTAATACAATTTAAAGTTGTAAAACCTTTTTATATTAAATAAATTGAATAATATAATAAAAGAAGTAGACTATAAAATAGAAGATTCTTTCATAAATTTATTGAAAATGATAATTGTTTTATTTTATTTAATAGGTGGTTTTGGGGTAGATTTTACACATAATGTTGATAATGTACAAGAAGGAATAAATAAAGTAGCAAAAAAATTGATAGAATTTGGTGTAACATCATTTTGCCCAACATTAGTAACATCACCCAGTGAGACGTATCATAAAATACTACCAAATATTAAAAAGAGAAATGGTGGAAAACATGGAGCATCTATATTAGGCATTCATTTAGAAGGACCTTTTATTAGTCCTAGCAAAAAGGGTGCTCATCCAGAAAATTGTATCAAGCAATTTGACAAAGCAAGTTGTTTAAAGGTTTTCAATATGTACATACAACATACATATTAGCAATATGCAAACAACAAACAAACTTTTACACATGAGTAAATATTTAAAATACATGAATATATAATTACTCGTCACTTAAAAAACTTTTAAACACACTACCATTTATGTATATATCTACTATAATTTTAACAAATGCTTTTGATATGTTTTAGGGATTTAAATCGTTAATCGAAATGTATGGAACTTTAGAAAATGTATGTCTTGTTACATTAGCACCAGAGCTTCCCAATGCTCCAACTGTAATTAAAGAATTATGTAAAAGAAATATTAAAGTTTCTGTTGGTGAGATATAAGTTTAATGCTCATTTATATCATGGTATTCATTAAACACAATCATTTTCATGCGATTATTTTAGGACATTCTATTGCAAATTTACATGAAGGAGAAGAAGCTGTAAACAATGGGGCTTCATTTATCACGCATCTTTTTAATGCTATGTTACCAGTAATTATGCAAAATACAAAAGTTTTTTCCTTTCCTTGAGTAATATAAATTTGCAATTAAATTCTTATTTACAGTTTCATCATAGAGATCCAGGGCTTGTTGGTTTGTTAACATCTGATAAAATTCCTTCTGGGAAAATTATTCATTATGGCATAATCGCAGATGGAATACATACCCACCCAGCAGCACTACGTATTGCTCACAGAACACATCCTGAAGGTTTGAACAATTTCTAACATTACAATAAAATACTTTGCATCACATTTTTCTGTTTTTATTTTCAGGATTAGTTTTAGTGACTGATGCATTATCAGCACTAGGCTTAGAAGAAGGTGTTCATCAATTGGGTCAATTTAAAATTGAAATGCGATCAGGACGTGCATATATTGCCGGAACAGATACTTTGTGTGGTAGTACAGCAGAAATGTCAAAATGTGTTCGTCATTTTAAAGAAGCAACAGGTAATTATATAATATAGTTTGTTAAATGCTTATGTTTTTCAATAAGTAAATTTTTTTCTTATAGAATCTAGGGATATAAAAATATAGAGATCTAGGAATATGTGTGTTTTAATAGAAAGACACTATTATATGTTACAGGTTGCTCTGTAGTAGAAGCTTTAGAAGCTGCAACTCTTCACCCAGCAAAGACGCTTGATATTGATAAAGTTAAAGGAACTTTAAATTTTGAAGCAGATGCTGACTTCGTAATGTTAGATCAAAAGTTGAATTTGTTATCGACGTGGATATCGGGAGAATGTGTTTATAGTATACCAAATGGTGCCCGAAACTCTTAGTAAACAAAAAATTATGAAATATGTATTAAATAATACTAAATGGCTGTGAATATTGTCCTAGCCATAGCTACGTTCATTTACATATTCATATTGTTACATATTTTATGTACAAATATTTTTATAAAAAGTATTGCAAATTTTGATACGTATAAAAATGTTATGTATTTTTATCGTTACATATAACTACAGTAAAGTTTTGATATAAGTGAATCGTTTGGGAGCTAGCTGTCGCTTATATTGTGTAATTTCTACATTGATTGAAGTTTGCGAAGCGTAGAAAAGGACAGCGAGTAAAGGAAACGATCGAACAACTGAGCGAAAACAAATAATAATATGCCGGTGGAACAATCGTAATGCAAGTATAATATATTTCTTATTTTTTATGTTTATTATATATTTACTTGTAATTTCAAACATTTCGCTTATATCAAGGTTTCACTGTATGGATGAATCAGGAGTGTTTATATCTTACAACATAATCTGTTATAGAATTCAGTAATTTTTGTTTTTATTAAATCTATTGTATATGGGCCAGTTTTAATATAACGTGATTTGTACGTGAATTGTTATATGTATTATTATAATTAATTTGTAACATTACTACAAAGAATTCAATAATACACAGTATTGACGTGTTAATAAATACAAAAAGTTGTCACATTTTAATATTGTATCTTGTTTTCAATATAGGAAACATGAATTATATACAACATTTATGTTTATTTGTGAAGGATTTATTTTATTCCTTTTTAAAAGTAAACTTACTGCACAATTAAGGAAAAATGAAGGCAACTGGTTATTTTTATAGATTTTTTATAAAACAATAGCATATGTCTTTCGATTAGAATAAAAGTTAATGCTTGCACAATCAGTATCAGTAAATTCCTAATATCTTTTCTTCAGTGTTTCTAGATTGTTAGCAGCACCAAGCTTTTAAATATAATATTGTATAAAAGTATTCTACGATTATTTTAGAAGAGCGTTAAAAATTGTTTACTCATGCATCATATTTTATACTTAAATATTGTTACATGTATACTAAATATATATATATATCGATAAAGATATATTATATATCGATTGTATATAATTGATAGTTTTAAGGTAGAACGATGACAGAATTTAGTTGTGTAAAACACTTATGCTAATAAACGACGTCCTTCAAATTGCACATATATGGTGAATGTCTAATGCCAAATGAATGTGCTGGAGGAATATCAAGAATTACCTGTAAGGAGTAATTTTATGCAATTTTATAAATACGTCTTTTATGTCTAAATAAATAGAAGAAAAAACTACGCTCGCAAAGTTTGTGGATTTACTTGAATCTAATAGGTACATTTGTTCAACACTCTAATTGTCTATTTCTTTGCAAAAATAGATTGTTTAATAGCTTAATACACTGAATTAGAAATTAGAAATACTTTTTCTGGACAATATGCTCCAGGTCCTGGTATCTGAGAATGGTCATCAGGTAGCTGATATCGAGCACTGATGCTATAGGCGGGACTTTTTATTCTAACTGCATCTGGTTTCACAGCCTCGTATGTCCCAGGTCCGGGAACCAAGATACGATCGTCTGTGAAAACTTTTTGTCTACCCGAGATAGAATAAGCCGGTGCTGTTTTCTTATTGCCTTCTTTTGTTCCGCCAAGAGCAGAAGGAATGTTGTAAACATTTGGAGCTAAAACAGAGGAAAAGTGAAAACGGAAAATTTAGAATAGATGGCACAAATATTTCATATAACTGACTGAAAAGTAAATGTTCAGAATATTGTACATTGATAACACTTTTTGGATTATATGTATTTTTCGACTTTATATGATTGTTAATAAATTAGAGTTAACTTACAATGTAGTAGTTGTTATTTAACAACGAACATTAATTAGATTACAGTAATTTATTTTTCAGGGTTACTTCTTATGTTCTATTATGTCAAAAATAAATATGTAGAGCATATTACAAATAACATAGCAATACCGCAGTGTAGTAGTACATTAGTACAGTAAAATAGTAGAATAGTGGAGCAAGAAACAAAATACAAAGTAGCAGGTACAGTTAATTTCTTTATTTTACCTGGAATATCATTTGGTCTGCTTGTATTTGTCCTTAGACCAAAAGTAAATCGCAATGCTTTTTCTAATAAAAGCATAGCTTTTTCTGGGCTGTATGAACCCGGACCTTTAAAGGACATTAAATCTATTGAACAAGCACATAAAGAAGAAAATAAAAAATAACAGGTTTATAAATCCTACTATACCTGGTATAGAATCTATTCCATGCACTTCAGTTTTAACTCCAAAACTGTATTGGGGAGATTTATTCAGATTTACCTTTTCAGGGTGGTAACTTCCAGGAGCTATATTTTAAAAATATAAATTACATTCTTTAAATAATAAATTACATACTATATCGAAATATTACTTACCAGGTGCATCATTGGGTTTCTCGATGAATGTTTTTAAACCGAACGAGTATTGAGGCGATTTATCTAAATTGACTTTTTCTGGTGAGTAAGTACCGGGAGCTATAAAATTAAAATAAAAATACTAATGTGACTGCTTAAAGAAGTTGAAATAGGCGTACATTTACTTATATTATTATTATTTGTAGTGCAATACTAATCTCGAAGCTTTATTTAATTATGAGTAAAAGTGGTAGTAATGTTAAAAACAAGTATAAACAAGAAGTTAAAGAATGAAGATACAGTACAAAAAACTGTAGTAAACTTAAAAAGTAACAGCACATAAACCTTTTATTATTGTTATTATAATTTAATATTGTTATTAAAAATTACATGAGAATATTAAAGACCCAGTAGCAGTTTTTAATAATGTGTTAACCAACACCATTACCTGGTATATCCCTAGGCATATCCAAGGATTTTCTACTACCAAAACTGAAATAAGGTTTATGTTCCAGATTTAATACTTTCTCTGGATAGTAATCAGCAGGGCCTACCGAAGCAATCAAAACATTACTACTTGTTCTTACTGAATGTTAAACCAATACCGATTGAATTTTTTAAATAAAAAACTCCAACAATTATCCGTGCAAATTCACCTGGATTGTCATTTGCTTTTTCTGGCCTTCCTCTCCCAGACATACTAAACTGAGGACCTTTATCTAAATTCATTTTTTCAGGACTGTATGTTCCAGGAGCTTCAAAAGATACAAAAATAAATATAACATAAACAAGAAAAGACCGATATATTGTTATGTTAACTTAAAAATTCACCTGGATTATCATTTGGCTTTTCTGGCCTTCCTCTCCCACACATACTAAACTGAGGACCTTTATCTAAATTCATTTTCTCAGGACTGTATGTTCCAGGAGCTT